AGTAATAATTTTCCAACAATGTGCAAAAAAAAAATAATAAAATCATGGAAAACAGAATAAATTACGTGTGAAGTAATATTTCCCATTTTAATGGCTTCCCAGTAGCCTTTACTCGTCACATATTTGACTACACAGTAAACACTGAAATAGAGTCATTAAGAAACGGTTCGATAATTTGTTTGCACTCTACGAACAATCGCGGAGTGAAAGTCTCCGAGTTAAGACACATGCAGAAAAAAATTCAAAAAGACGAGAATTGTCGTGCAAAATGCAATTTCACTGGTGGTACACCGAGGAATGCCAATTGATTCGTGACAGCGATAATTCGTCAGTATAACTAGCACCTAATCCCCTTGGGAAATCGAAAGGAACCATCAAAACCATCAGAGCAATTGCGGATTGAATTCGCACCGGAATGCGAGTTTCAATCTCTTAAGAGGAGACTAATATGAGCTTTAAAATTCATTTATTGTAGTATTTATTATTACTATTATTATTTATTATTATTTATTATTAATTATTAACTATTTATGCCCAATAACGAATAATTAGTGCAAAATAATTAATTGTTTATTGTTCGTTTTCCCCGCAAACGCTTAAAATGAAAATTGGAAATTTGAAATTCGAATTCTGCACAACTAATTTCATTGTTGTTATTCAAAGAATTGCCCCAGTCATGAAAAATATCCAGAAAAATGTTCAAAATGTTTAAAATATATTCTCGATTCTTTCAGAAACATTTTTCTGGCTATTTTACATGAATTATGCAATTTTTTATATTAAAAAACTAAATTAGCTGTGTCGATTTAAAAAAATAGCTCGTAATTGCAATTGTATACTTTTTTTCAAAAATTTTCAAGAAAATCTTCTGTAGTTCAAAAATTGAAAAATTAAAATTAATTTTTTGTCGCCAATTATTCGTTTTTATATATAATCAATCTTCAGTGGTTCAATTTTGAAACTAATAGCAGTCTCCCCTTAATGAAAGATGAATAAAAACGATAAATGAATGTAAGCTGCGTCCAACGTGGATACAGGTGTGTCAGCCTTAATTAACGTGAGAACTGCGGGCCAGATTGTGACCAATACACTTGCAGAAGAATAATTCCATCATTGGAATGAGCAACTAGAGTTGGCCGTTGGCTTTTTTTCGTAAAAACCGAAGAAGAAAAATCACTGATATATTTTCATCGCGAACCCCGCCTACGTAATCGTGCACATGTCCTATCAGCGAACAGCGCAAACATCTCAGCTAAATGCATCAGATTTTATTTCGTTAAATGTTACGCCTATCCCACACGAGGGAGTATCTCGTGTCCATTTTCCCCGAGGAACGCGGGTACAAAATCGTGTTTACCAACGCCCTGGCGCTTTATCATACCAAATGTACTGAACCAGATTGACCGAGAGAGTCTGTTAACCATCGATTGGAAGCCTTCCCCGGCATTAATTTGCCTCTCACCTTGTGTACAATCATGTGAAAACAGTGTTAGCGCTTTAGGTGCCAGCGAAAAAAACTCGGGCATGTGAAAAAGGCGGAAATCAATGAACAGAATCGAAGAGGAGAAACTTAATTGGTTGAGTTGATGAGCGAGCAATTGAGAGCGATGCTAGGCCGCATCCGGATATGCGGTGTACACTCTGTATCTAACGGAAAAATCAATCTATGATCTCCTTTCTTTGGACTCATTGGAGATAGGGAAATTGTTTTCGGATGTACTTGAGAAGTTCTTGTAGAAAAAGGGGAGAGAAGTTGTTTACGAATATTTCCGAGTTTTATGGTGTCAAAATTGCAGTTAGGAGGTTTATACTTGTCAAATTATCCCGGTCAATAATTGACATCGTAAATATTCTGAATTGATAATGAGTGATGGAAGAATGTGAAAACGGGAAGGTCGAGAGAAAGAACAATAAATTTTGTGAGGAATGAGTGAAGGAATTTCGCATTAGAATTTTTATTGCATATTTTAAAAATTAATTTCTTTCTGAAATGAATATTTCATGAATAATTTGAAAATTGAGATCTTGTTTTCATTCGAATGTCAAAAAGTGACCCAATGTATCTGTGGAATAAATTTGGGTTACGGGGCTTGCTGCAACCGGCAATAATTGACGTCGTAAATATTCGAAATTAATAATAAGTAATAGACCAATTTAAAAATTCAAGATTGCGGGGGAAAACCATAAAATTTGTGAGAAATTAAATAAAGAAAATTGGGTACACTTGTTGATATTCCAAATATTTGATGAAATTTCTGCTTTGAATCCGAAAGTTCATCAATTACTGCGAAAATAAATTTCTTCCTGAAGTCAATATTTCATGAACGATTTGAAAATTCACATCTTGTTGTCACTTGAATGTCCCAAAATTTTCAAAATTCAATCAAAATGTTCATGGTTTAATTTCTTCGTTCATTCGTGTGAAATTTTACGGGGAAAATCTGGAGAAAAGTAATTCGAGAGGATTATTCTTCATGTTTACATTACAAAATCAGAAATGCAAACTCGCAATAGTTGACATTGTTAATGGTTTGGGGAACGAGAAAGCGTTAATTTTAAAATAAAAAATTAAATCAACTTCTGCGGGAACGAATGAATGGATTAATTCGTGTTGCACGAGAATTTTTATTTAATCAAATGACAAAATTCGAAAACTGAATGATGAATACTCCACTTTTTTTAGTTTAAAACCTACAATTAATTTTGAACTATCCATCCAAATAAAAAACACGTGTCTGCCATCTCTCACCTAATTTTCATAGTCAACAATAAAGGAATTTCACGTAAACTCGGAATTGCTCTCATGTATTGTTGAGAAACCCAACATAAAAAAGCCCGGAGGAAAGTAATTTGAAATGATGACTCCTCATATTCACAAGCAGTGCATTACAAAAGCAGAAAGGAGGTGCACACCTGTCTCAACCTCCGAATGATCGACACCGTAAACATTATGAATTGAGCCACAGAAGAATGTTCAAACGTAAAAATTCCACTGGAATTATATTTCACAGCGTAAATCGATACAATTGGCTCCGAAAGCAAAGTCCCTTTTGAGAATTCATTTTTTATTCCCCTATTTCTCCTATTTCTCCTTTTCCACATGTCTCCGATAACACTTCAAGGATATCCACATGCACCGAACGACGCGAGGAAGAGAATGCAGAGACTCCGGAGCACTTAATCTCGACTGATTGAAAAACAATGTTCCCATTTCGCGGCTTTTGCTGAGAAAAAAAATGCTTTTGCCAAGAATATTTACTTGCCACAAGTAAATGCACATAAATATCTGCATAAGACACGTGTAAATTTCCTTGTAGTTAGTAAATATACTTGGTAAAAGGTTTTTTTTTCTCAATTCAGAAGGATGTTTTACAACGCACTCCGAAAAGGGTGGACTTGTAACGCCGGACGGGGAGTGCATGGAGGGTCACGAGTGTTTTTTGTCGATCGATGTGGGGGACAGTGGTCGTAACAGGTGGACGCACTTCCGGTTCTCTTCTGACCTCTTTACGAGCCCAAAAAATATTCAAATGAGATTTTGCGATGATATTCACGCGTTCTAATTCCTCTTCAAATGGAAAATTATTCTGAGAATAGGTGTCGTGATTATGGTCGGCTGGAGGATAATTATGGATCGAGAAAGGGTTCCATGACTAATCAACACGCGGTTATTTCAACACAAAAGTGATTATCTACGATGTGAATTTAATATATCGTTAAATATGAGAATTTTCAGTGAATTTATCATTTTCTTCTTGGGGCTGTATAATTTGTCATCGACGAAAAAATAGATAATCTATGGGAATAGACGTTGAGTGTCCACTAGTGTTCGGCATTACACAGGGTTCACTGCGGGGAATATTAATTTTGAGTGACGCTGTGTATGCATGATTGTTTTCAAATTTTTTTCACGCAATTTAATTGATAAATTTGATGATTAAAAATTTTTGAATGCACTGTTAAAAATTTTCGGCTGAATTTCCCGCGTCAAATTCCGAAAATTTTCATCGTGTTTAATTTCCACTGAAGTTTCAGGAAATTTTGTCATTGACAAATAAAATATTCCATTGATTTTCTGTTCCAATGATCTGAAATCAGTAAAATTCTTGATTTTCCAGTTCAAACATTTCGTGAAAATTCGGAAAAATCAGGAAAATTGAGGGAAAATTTGAAAATTCAGTCAAGTTGTGAAATTTCCGCCTCACGCCCCTGAAAACTCATGGATTTCCCTGAATTCTATCTAAAACTCAAAATTTCATAACCATTTTTCCCCTAAAATCGGATTCAATATCACTCTCACGAGATTTCAAATTGTGAAAGGTATTTGGATGTCCCGAATACGAAAATTTTTAGACAATTTATTATTTTCTTCACGCAACTCCAAACTGTTTCAAAAAAAACCCAAGAATTTATCGCAAAAATGAATATTGATAATTCTTCTGCTGAGTTTGTCAAGTGTTCGTCAGTCCCGTCACCATATTCACGCATTCCAACTCCTTTTCCAACGTAAAATTATTCTGTGCGCCCAGATATTGTAATTACGCTTGGCTCAACAATAATTATGGATCGCGAAGGTGTAGAATATGATCGTGATCATGAAGAGTTCAATTTTCGGAGTTGATCCGCTCCGAAGGATACACAACCAGTCGACCTCGGTTGCGACCAAAGAAAATCCGCCGAGGACAACGATCTTGTGGGCGTAGACTCGACCGCGCGTCTTGAGTTTTTGTTCTTCCATTTCACAAAATACCCGTTGAAACCTCAATCGAAATCCGCCAGGGAAAATGTGCCCAGCACCCGAAAAAAACGGACAATAACTGAGATAGACTCCCTGAATTATGGACCGTGAAAACTGAATGCCTCAATGTTTGCATAAGATTCGATTTTTTTCCCAATCCGAAAGTCATTTCACACCTTGCCGTCCTTCGGCAAGGGGAAAAAAATAACAGCCACAATGAACGAATGGAAGGGGCGATAAACAATTTATTTATTGAACAAACCTTGGGCCTGGAGCGGTAAAATCCCGAGAAGGGACACTAGTATCCCGAAGACAACGATCATCGTCTGATCCGTGGCATTTATCGTCCAGAACACCAGAAATATCACCTCTCAAGCACTTCACACAAATTCCCCGGGAGATTCCTCTCAGTTTAACCTCTGTTATTTCACTACGAAACGTCAGAAATGAAAAACAAATACACTGAAGTCCCAACTGGAGCTCGAACTTTCACTTGTTAACTCAATTATTTTTATGTTTCAACGATTTTCAAGATCCTCATCAGGCATCAAAGTCCCCATGGCTCTTCTCAAACAAGCATTGAGATCTCTGAATAAAAACACGAGGTAAATATCGATGTCGCTTCATTCAACATTTATAAACCGGTTAATCCCGAAAATTGTTGTTTTGAGTATCACAGATATAAATATAAACTAACGAATCACTGAATATTCTTCACATTGAGGGGATCTTCGGTAATCTCAGGATGAGAATAATTATGTGAATTCAATAAAGAATAAATTGTTACAGAAATTCACACGCGCACTGAGTGAAATTCACAGTGAGGTGGCGATCTGTTCCCTTCACCGGCCGAGCACGGAGTGCTCGTGCCCCTGGGTAAGACCTCGTTGTCTGTGGGGATATGAAAGTCTCCGGGAACAGTCTATAAGCACAGAAAGTATAGACCCACGACTAAACATTTCTCATTAGCTGAAAAAGCTGAGGAAAATGTATTCAACAACATTTTCTAAACATGAATATGCGCACGGGGGAAAATATTTGTTGATGTTTCACAACCATTTGTTCAAATTTAGCAACTGATTGTTGGGATTCATGAACTCGTTGTTGAAAATATTAATTAACGATCAGTTGTTGAATTTCGACAACTATTCGGTAAATTATTGCATTGGCCTTCTTATCATCAGTTTGGTAATTTATTGTTGCATTTTAACAAACATTTTTCTGCATGTACATTCCATACGATCACGACAGATTATTATTTTTTAATTCATAATTTATTTACAACGTTTATTTGCGTGAAAAAAAAATAAAATTATATTTTTAAATGTTTTGAATTGAAACATTGTGGAGAACACGACTTAAAATTGAATTTAACGAAAATTTGTAAAAAAATGATTATTAAATACGATTAAACCTCCATACAATTCCAAAACACAAAACAATAACGACATAAATTTTTTTTAATTCATCATTCATCTACATCATGCCTCAAGAAAATTAAAATTCAATTTTCAAATGCTCTGAACCAAAACATTATGAAAATAAAGACTTAAAACTACAGATTTGACGATAGTTTGTCAAAAAAATCATCACGAATCATAATTACACCCCCCTAAAATTTAAAAATCGCTAAAAAGGCTTTGAATTATGGAGACGAAGCCCTGAACCCATTGGTTCCTACGTTACGTACCCGAATAATTCAAGAAATACCATTGGAAGAGTTGAAAGAGGGCGTAGATAACTAGATAATAGTGGTCTCGGATGCGGCTTATTTCCATACCTGCGCTTTACCATTCTGAGGAAATTGTATAGGAGTTTAACTCCTCTTTGCTGTTACCAACCGTGCGTAACGAAAGTTACGATGCGAGGCCCGTTTCTCGAATGATTACGAAAGTCCATACTCATTGTGTTCACCAGATATTTGAGAATGCAGAGTTTGTTCAATTGGCTCTGTCCCCCCCTCCCCTGCCCCTCCCCGCCCCCCTCCCTTCCGAGTCTCAAAAGAATAGAATAGTTTTTCCCCCCGACAAAAACGAGATAGGGAAACCGGTTCAGTTTTGATCGATCCAGCGGCAAAAGCGTCGGTACCGTGATTGCTTCCGGGGTTCGAGGCAACGGAAAAATATTAATATGTGGAGTAGCTACGGTCAGCGTTGATCAGCCCGGGAGTTACAGTATCCAACAGCTTCTATAAGGTTACGCTTGCCTTAACCGTTAATCCACCTCGAGCTGTTCCTCCGTCCCTCTCCACTACGTCCCATATAGATCACCTCCTCTCCTCTGTCGCAGGCATCTTGAAACACACGTTTCCCTCTCGGAGTCGCGTCTACCACCTCCATTACAATCTTTTTAGTCTCGTCTTTTTCTACTCACTTGTTGTGATTTCTGTTCTGTTTCCCTCTGCGACGTGTTTGTTGTGCACCAGGGACCATCTGACGTCACTCCAAGCCCCTTTCACCTGAGGAAGGTTCAGACAGACTCGAGAGGAGTGATCTTCGATGATGTTTATGGCCCGTTCAGAGTTGAGATGATTAATTAACGTGCGGTGAATGGTTTTTTCCGAGTGTTTTGTTGCATTCTTCCTTTAATTACTCCAGTATTTTCAATTGGCTGCTTTCAGCTACCTATTCGTCAAGTGATTGACTATTCAGGAAAGCATTTGATGAGCGAACGACCCTTTTAGGCATGCAAGACCCGTTGATCTTTCTTCATGATGAACTTTCAATTTTTTTCTCGCGCAGAAGATTCATTGAATTTCGTATGATTTTTTGAATTCTTGAATTTCAGAGATAAAATTACCTTCTACCCTATCAGAAATGTAGAGTACATGTTTGAAACACACGTTTCCCTCTCGGAGTCGCGTCTACCACCTCCATTACAATCTTTTTAGTCTCGTCTTTTTCTACTCACTTGTTGTGATTTCTGTTCTGTTTCCCTCTGCGACGTGTTTGTTGTGCACCAGGGACCATCTGACGTCACTCCAAGCCCCTTTCACCTGAGGAAGGTTCAGACAGACTCGAGAGGAGTGATCTTCGATGATGTTTATGGCCCGTTCAGAGTTGAGATGATTAATTAACGTGTGGTGAATGGTTTTTTCCGAGTGTTTTGTTGCATTCTTCCTTTAATTACTCCAGTATTTTCAATTGGCTGCTTTCAGCTACCTATTCGTCAAGTGATTGACTATTCAGGAAAGCATTTGATGAGCGAACGACCCTTTTAGGCATGCAAGACCCGTTGATCTTTCTTCATGATGAACTTTCAATTTTTTTCTCGCGCAGAAGATTCATTGAATTTCGTATGATTTTTTGAATTCTTGAATTTCAGAGATAAAATTACCTTCTACCCTATCAGAAATGTAGAGTACATGTTTGAAACACACGTTTCCCTCTCGGAGTCGCGTCTACCACCTCCATTACAATCTTTTTAGTCTCGTCTTTTTCTACTCACTTGTTGTGATTTCTGTTCTGTTTCCCTCTGCGACGTGTTTGTTGTGCACCAGGGACCATCTGACGTCACTCCAAGCCCCTTTCACCTGAGGAAGGTTCAGACAGACTCGACAAGACTGATCCTCAATGATGTTTACGGCTCTTTCAGAGTCAAGATGATTAATTAACGCGCGTTGAATGGCCTCTTCTGACTGTTTAGTGGCATTCATTCCTTTAATTAGTTCACTCCTCTCAATTGTCTGTTTTCAGCTACCTATTTGTCAAGTGAATGACTATTCAGACAAACATTCAGTGAGTGAATGACCTTTTATGCATTGAAGACCCGTTGATATTTCTCCACGATGACCTTTTCATTTTTTCTCTCGCGCGGAAGATACCCTCAATTTCGCGGATTATTTTGAATTATTTAATTATAAGGATAAAATCACCTTCTACCTTATCGTAAACTTGGAGTGTATCCTTGGAGGGGCTCGCCTGAGGCCCCCAGCGGTTGATCAAGAAGAGAATGCAACTTCAATCGGGGGAGATTTGAAGTGCAATGTGCGCAAGTACAAATTGTCGGTTCACGAGGGGCAAGAAGGGTGAAATAGCTGGAGAGGCTTCACGACCACTGAGCGTGTGCGCTCTGATGCTCATCATGGTGTCGGTCACTGTCGTTTCACGTCAATACACGTTCTACACGGGTTACCATCAGTTTTCCCGGGCCCGCGGCCCCGCGAGGGCCGCCACGCATCGAAATTGAAAATGTAAGTCCATTAAAATTACGATTATTCGATTAATTTCATTCTCTCGCACGAGGTAAAGTGAATGCATTCAGCTTCTGTTTTGAGATGTTGAGAGGGGTCAAAGCCCCCAGGCGCCTTGTTTATACCCTCCTTCCGTTTTCATTTAGAATAGATGAATAATGTGGTAAATATTTACTTCGTCGATTAAACGAAACCAATTGCATGTTTTCTTCGGTGATAAATCCGGCGAATTCGGTAGAAAAATCTGTGGGATTTCTAGTCAACTAGTCCAGTTGAAACGATTTTCTTATGACACATTTTCTGTAGGAATTCCTTGGCATAATTTTAAGTTTTTTCTTCTCTTTTCAGTGAAGAATTTAAACAATACACTTTATAGAAAATAAACGCACAGATTGAGCTGCAGAATTTTTTAATGTAATCGGCCAATAACTGAAAGTTAAATAGAAATGCTATTTATTTACTTATTCATTTATTTATTTATTTATCTATTTATTAAGTTTATAGCCAAACAGCCGAGGCCAATTACATGGCTATAATCGTACAGCGTTAACTTAATTTTAGTTCAACTAGTTTAACCAGTAATGGCACTCAATAATATTTTATTTATATTATTAATTAATAATAGTATTTCTTATCAAACGAATCATTGAAGATGTCCGTGTCCAGACAGCGTCATGAAAATTAATGAAATTTTCTCGACAATTCGCTAGAATTTTTCTACTTATTTTCACACGTGAAATATTCGAAATTGGATTTACCGAAGAAAATATTCGGGAATTTATTCAAAATCGCATTATTTTTTAAATAAAGAGCCCGAAGAATGGCCGAAGGAGGTGGGGGAAACGATGCGAAGACGAACGGTGACAATCCAGTAATTAAAAGTCAGATGGAGGTGAACGAGTGCCTCGGTAGTTGGCTCACCTACTTGCAGGTGAGAAATATTTCGAAATGAATTCTCTTTCTAATTGAAATGAGCAGTTTCATTCGGATATGTTGAGACACTGTTCTGTTGACAGATGCTCAATGGCCTATGCTCCGCTGGTACGAAGTTGGCCCAATCATTGCAAGTACTTTTGTCGAATCACGATGCAGTTCTCGACTGCAGATTAACGGGCCAGTGTTTAGCTGGATGGGAAGAGTTGACTCGGGCTACTGGCGTTGCCAGTAATACTGTTAAAAACCACGTGGTTGCTGCACTTAGGGACCACGAGGCACGCGATAACGACGGGGATAAACACGTCAGTATTATTTAAATTTCATTCTGTTTGGGGTCCTGGGGATGACCTTGGGGACTCTATTTTAAGGGTTTTTAATAAATCATGGTGATAGAGATATCCCAGGATTTATTTCTGAGATTTTTGATCATCGAATTTGTAAGTCAACCGAGGGCACTAAATTGGATGAGAAAAAATTCGCTCATTTCCATTTTATTTTCATTTAAAACAAAAAATTTGCATGATACGGTGAAAAAATTGATGCTAATTCGTGTGATTCAAATTATATTTTGCAAAGATGTCTTTTTTTTCCATTGTTATGAATAAATAATAGAAAATTGTTCAAATTCAAACGATCAATGTTTGAATAATAAACAATTGCGAAATTTTTGTGCAATTGGGAATATTAAGAAGAGTTTCAGCGAGGAAAAATCACCGAAGTGATAAATATTGGACGATTTTTCGTGCCAATGTGAATGAAGAAATAGAAAACAAAGTTTGTTCAGTAATTGGATCCCTGACGGTAAATCGTAGTCAAAGTCACTTTATCTATCTTCTAATATTGATTTTACGTCTGTGTTAACGGTAGATACATTGTTTCCGGTTTCAGGATATACTGCGTGACAATCTCCTGACCTTCATTAATCTGCAGTATCAGTTCTGTGTCGCGTGTTGCGAATGTTTAGGTGAGAGCATTGATAAAACTTGAAATTTCACCAATCCATCCACATTTTTTTTTTGTTTCATTGCCTGAAACTGTGAAAACTAGAGTTTTCTTAGATTAGAGAAGAGTAAAGCTCTTGAAACTGATCCCGCAATATTTTCAAAGAACTAAGAAAAGCGTAAATAAAATAAAATTCAGGAGGAATAGCCGAATGTTCGTGCTCCCAAGGAGGAAAAACGGAATGTGACATAGCAGCGCTTCAACAGTGCTTCGAGCGACTTTACAGCCCGGCGACGCCAGTGTCATCGTCATCAATCCAGCAGAATTGTCACAGATCGCCGCTGAGGTATCCCCTGTTCCCTCTTCAGGTGCAGAGACGGTGGTCCGAAACGGCGGCCGCTGAGATGTCCGGAGAGTCGACGGAGAGCACGATGAGACGGTGGTCCATGCCCTGGGATTGCAGGCACATCAATGAGTGGCCGAGGCAGGAGGAGAGGTCCAGGCTCAGGGTTCCACATCACGATAGAAGCAGGTCGACTACCCCTGACTCAGTGTGGAAGTCCTCGGGGATGGCTAGTCAGGATGGGTTGCAGGAGGCCATTCAGTTGTTGTCGTGTCGACCAGGTTATTGAATTGTTGTTTTGTATCTTTAGGGAATAAAATGAGGAAATACCACGGATTGATGAAAAATGAGAGTATTAGAGGCTTATGTACTTCACTTGGAAATTTTTTGTTGCCATTTCTGGTACGCAATTTGGAATTTTTTTATTGAGCGACAGTTCCGCAGAAATTTCGAGGAATTTCGTCATTCACAATTCCCAATTTAACTCCTCACGGATGCGGTCGGCGCATGGTGTCGACGCGAACGTGAATACTTGTTTTCAAAATGATTGTTTTCAAATCTGTGAAGAACAAACAAAATTGGAAACCGGAGTACTGTAGCTCCAATTAGATAACGCTTTTATAATTTTTCGTTCATTAGGAATGATTGAATTGCAGTGGTATTGAGCACATACTACGCTTGGTAACAGAAGGGCCGTGAGGGGTTGAAGGATAAGTTAATGAAATTGTTAATTTTAGTAGAATTATTCCATAAAAACTAGTAAAAATCAGGAAATTTCAGGAGAATGTATCCTTGAATTTTTGTTTGCGGCACAAAAATTTGAAATTCATTCGCATTTTCACTGTAATTTTAAATTAAATTTTATTTCTACCAGTGTTAGAGATCATTATCTCTAAAATATTATCATCTAAAAAAATAAGCTTACGTAAGAGCCAATGTTGTTCGGAATTTTTTTTTATCAAGTGACATTTTCCCGAAAATTCCAGGAAATTTCGTCTGAGAAAATTCTCAATTTGATGATAAATTAATCCAGCTGTCAATTTCGGTTCAATTATGATACTGCATGTTTTGTTGCGCAAAACATTGGAATTCTAGTGAAGGTTCGACGAAATTTGAAATTTCGATTTTTTGTCACAGCGTCAAGATCGTTATCGTTACCTAGAAGCGAGAAAGGGAATAAAAGGGAAAAAATTGTATTGAATGTGTCTTCAGGTGTCAGACCGTCAAATCAGCTATCAGTCTTTAACAGTCAACACGTGCCAGGTGTGATATTGACGACATGTAGCTTCGAAACTAATTACGATGGCTCCGTTTGGCCGGATTCACGGAGAGTTGGATCACCACGATGTTGGCCCCAAGATTCACACTCGAGTGATCACTCTGACCAATCCGGGCACAGTGGACTCAGCGGAGACCATCGTGACTCGGGTAATTTTCCCGAAAAAGACAAACCAAAGTCTCTCGAATTTTCTCTGAACAATGCCGTCGTTCATTGTTATTATTATTATTATTATTTAAATAGAACACAGTGGGGGGAGTGGAAGTGCAGGCCACCGTGACAGCAAAGACAGTATTCAATCTCACAGCGATCATGGCTCGCATAGAGAGTCAGAGGGTGGTGCTAATGTCGATCTTCTTCCGTCTAGGAAGAATAGTTCATCAGCAGAATCCTGTTTATCGGCTAATAGTCGTTCTGGCTCGGAGAGTGCCGGTGCCGGGGTAATTAACATTATCCTTATAATGAATATGAGGCATGACTTGTTCGCTCAGTGATTCGCAGAGGCCCCCAGACAAACAATTCAGTGGTGAAGGGGTAAAACGGTTTTAGTCGATTTTGAATATTGGCCAGTTTTCAATGAATATCTCGAAGTCTAGGGGGGATAGCAATATTTTTGTCATGACCTTTTTTGTAGCACTCAAGTCGCTCTATAAAAAAGGTTATTACGAAAATTTCGGTATCTCCCGTAGATTCGGAGATATTCCTCGAAAATTCAGTTAAAGGCCGAGTAGTTGGGTACAAGGTGTCCGAAAGTTTGAACAATTTTAATTATTTATTTATAAACGATGAATTTTCAAACAAAAATTATTCTGGGCAAATTTTGTTCACGCAATTTAATTGCCAAATTTGGTGATTGAAAATGGTTGGCTATGCTTGAACCATTTTACCGCTTCGCTACTGAATTTTCCAAAGAAAAAAGAAAGGAAAGAAGAAACTTTTTTTTTTGGAAAAGTTATGATGCTTCGAAATTTTTGAACAACATCCTTTTTATAATATATAACTCAAAAAATATGCATTCTACAAAAAAAAACATGCAGAACTACTTTGTTATCGAAAAAGTAACGTTTATTATAAAAAAATCCAATGGCAAAAAGGGATTTTTTCATAAACAATTCCATTTATTCGAAAGAATCGACCTTTGAACATTGTGTCAAAATTCTGGAAAAATATGTAATGTATCAATTCCCTTTGTTCCATTCTGCTTTCCAGGAAGGAGCTAAATCTCAATTGTATTCGATGTGGAGCGGTGGAGACTTGCCTTTCATCAAACTGCCAGAAAGCACTGAGCTCCAGGATGAGAGACCACCGACTAACTAATTAATTGAATGATAAATAAATAAATGAATTACTTTTCTAGGCAAACTTTCCATTAGAGCAATTCCCCAAATTCCCCAAATTCGTTAATTCTTTTACTAGAAAAATTTTGAATGTTGGACACTTGCGAAAGCTTCGTGGAGCTGTTCAATTTTAGCCTTTGAAGTTTGTTCACTAATTTATCTATTTCCATTCGCTGGAATGAAACCCAGAAGTTTGTTGCGAATAGAAAATACTGTTCAGTGCATTCAGAAAATTTAAATGTGTTACAATGACTATCCCGCGGACCAAAATATCGCAATATCATCGTTTCTAGAACGAACCCGAGAGTGGAACTCAATCGTCATATGTAATATTTCCATATCAAATGCGGATTTCTGTGTGAGCCTCCCCTACCGACGAAGAACGTCTTTCGGGATTCTTCCTTGTACCAGTATCGAGACCAGTACCGAGATAAGTTGATGTTCAATAAAATCTGGAGAATGACTTGTAAAGAAGAAAACGTAATAAAGCCGAATCTGACATTTTTGCTAATTGTGAATTTATTTCAAGAACGAATTGCTTCAGCAGGAGATGTTGAGAATCTTGTTGTCTGCGAGCAACAGGAGGACAAGAATTCCAAATTACGTGAATTTCTAATCCAAACATGAATATTTAGTACCAAACTATTCGGAATTCTCAATCAGTTGAAAATTCGAGAATATATTCACCTGAATTTTTATAATTTCTGGTAATTTTCATGGAACAATTGAACTAGAATTTACAGTTTTCATTGGTTTTTCGTGAAGTTTCCATGAAATGCACTTCTTGAACTCGATATAAATCGTGTGATAACTTTTTCATCAAATTTTGATGACTAAACGGAAAGAACACAATCCTGTTTATCAAAAATTAGAAAATTCATTGAATTTTCAATCTAAACATGAATAGTCAGTACCAAATTAGTTGGAATTCCCAATCAGTTGAAAATTTTTCTGTTTATTCTGTTGATTTTTATGAAACAATTAAACTAAAATTCACAGTTTCCATTGATTTTTCCATAAAATTTTGAATTTCCGTAACGAAAATTCTTGAAATTTCAGTCAACAATTTTGAACAATGTACTTCTGCAACTCGACATGAATCACATGATAACTTTTTCATTAAATTTTGATAACTAAATGAAGCAGGCAATCCTGTCTACGGAGATCTTATGATTTACTCTTTTCACTTGAATAAACACATCTGCATTAATTGTTTTTCTATACGTGGAAGAATGTAAAAACGTTCTCAGAGCAAAAATAAATACTCAACAAAAATAAATGAAGCGAAAAAAAAACTAACAGATGAATAGAGTTGGAAAAAAATTGGCGATACGCAGAGAATGTCCATCTCTTTTTTATTACTTTATATTATATAAAATTATCTTTTATATATCTTGAATCAACGTACTCGTGATGCACACGTTTAACCTCATATGTACAAATTTTTCTTTTGTATTTTTATGGCACTAGTACCCTCAGAATGAGCATCACGATAAATAATTACAATAAAGATGAGAAAAAACTTAATCATACGGTCTAAAAATCGATTGACGAGTAAAAAATAACGGAATCATTCATCCTTCAATTATCTCTGCCCAATGATCCTTTACTGTCAAATCAATCATCATATACAAAAACCAAGTGACTTTGAGCCACTCGCAGACGAGTTATTCCACCGATCTCCATCGTTTCACGTTGAAAAACCATCAACCCTTCCAAAGGGTTGAGCTGCCCAATCTAAATTCACCACATTCCTTACTTTTAAATATTAACATCGTACGAACAAAACTTTCGTATTTAAAACTAGAATCTAATAATAAAATTAGAGAATAAAAACTGCACGAAATTGCAAGAGTAATTGTCACCGGATTGATAAAAACTGCAGGTCCTTGATAATAAATTTTCCCCCCTCCTCCCCCTCAGCCTCTACGGTATTCGAAAATTAATTAGTCGAGATCATCATCGACAAGCTCGTCCTCGTCCTGGCCATAGTCGTCGTACGGCTCTTTCAACTCATCCTCCTCCTTGTCAGCTGGACAGTGAATGCATCTCGATTCATTGATTCCGTAGTTTATACACGTGTCACCGATGCACTCACAACAGCCATCGTGAAACCACCTGTAACTCGTTGCCCCCATGCTCTGGCATGAGGCACGACACTTATTCCATGAGTTACATTGAGCCATATAGGCCACTGTGCAGTTTACTGTCATTATATTTGGTTTTAGAGGGTGATGCACCTCCTCCTCCACGGTTTCTGCATTAAAAGAACAGTGAAAACATTAGTCAGTAGTTTTCTCAATGCGCGACTCCGGCATTGGCAATTCTCATTTAATTGACAATTCAGTAGCGAAGTGGTCAAACGGTTTCAGTCGATTTTCGCTATTGGCCAGTTTTCAATGAATATCTCGAAATCTAAGGGAGATAGCAAAATTTTTCGCATAACCTTTTTAGTAGCACTCAATTCGCTCTACAAAAAAGGTTATTATGTAAATGTCACTATCTCCCTTAAATTCGGAAATATTTCTGGAAAACACAACTAAAGACTAAATTGACTTAAACCGTTTGATCACTTCGCTACTGAATTCATTGCATTGAGGGACAATTCATTGCATTGAGAGAGTTTTCATTCGAACACTTTGAAATTACACTTATGGGGAGCTCAATCCACTTACGCATGTGATATTTAATCTCTTTCTCATGCTTCGGTTGATACATCGAAACATCGAAATCCACGGGATACGAGAATGTTATCCATCTCTCGTGCGAATCGGGCTCCGCTGTGAGTGCCTGAAAAAGCCCAGGGACGGGTTCACTGAAGTCCTCAACGTGGGATTTCTTACTCAGTGGATTGTCCGTTATATTAGGCTTCGGACATAAATCTGGAAAGTCATGAAGCCATGATTATTTTTAATCCAAAGACGTCAAACATCATTGTTGAGAATTTTTGTGTGATAACTCCTTGCTGACGAAATTTCGAGGAATCTTGAAAATCACAATTCGAAAATTCGTTATTGATTGAGAATTCCCCATCGGTCTGCTGATCAAAAATGAGGAATTCCACTAAATTTTCACTGAAATTTAAAATTTTTTGATTTTCCCCTTTAAGGCGAATTTAAAATCGCGCCTCTGAAAATTAATCGGTGTATACGTATGTAACAAAGTCTTTCTTCAACTGCTCGCTGATGAATGGATCAAATTGATTTTTTTTTCAAATGTAGGAATTTTTTTAATTCTCGAATTTTTTTCGAAAATCGGTTGTCCCACGATAACTAAAAAAATTTTCTAAATTGATTGAATGATGGCATAAAGACTTTAGTTGGGTGTCCTTTCGACCGATTTCGAAAATGAAGGCGTTAGCAATAATCGTTATTTTGATTGATTTGAAAATTTGCAAAAAATTTGCATCTTTTGAAAATCAAAATTCCGGGGATATCTTTGAATTCATTCATTTGAAGCATGACATAGCTTAGAATGTTTGTTTTGATGCCATCAACTCGAAGTTAAAAGATGATTACGATAGCTATATTGGTTGATTTGATTTTCATGATGATTATTGAAAATTCCGAATTGTTCATGAATTTCCCTGAAAGTTCGCTTCCTGATGCTTTCTTCAAACGTAATGTTTCAAACTCATTCAATAAGGCATAAAAAAAATTTCTATGAACATTTTATCGAACGGCTGAGAGGAGCTTAGAAGATCAGACGATTACCAAAAATGAGGAATTCCATTAAATCTTCAATGAAATTGAAAATTTGATAATTAGTTCCTCTGAATCAAATAAAAAATCGCTCTCCTGAAAATTGCCACTAACCGGTGCTTGAAATCACAATTTTTTTTCTCTCCTAAACATGACAGTCGAGTGAAAAAATTCCAGCTAAACCTTCGACTTCCCCGAGAGAGATAATTGAGTGGTCATTTCATGGATAAAAAAAATATCACGATGTAGAAGATGGATAAAAAAACACGTTATACTGACCAACACAGGAGCAGCACTCATCGTACAGATAAGACAAACACGAGAAACACTCCTTGCAACACGTGCACGTGACAAGATCGCATTTACAGCTTTGAGTAAGCATGCACTTGCTCACGACACTGGCGCAAATGGCTTCATTACAGGCATAGGTAAACCTTGTTGTTGAAAGAATGAGAACCGCCGTGATTCCCACTAGAATCAGCACTCGGCACCACGTCATCGTGTCCTGAAACATCAATTCCCCTGTTATTCCCGGAATAAAACAATTTATGCATCCATTGATGAATAAATCCATGCGAATGATGAAAACAAATCAGTAGCGAAGTGGTCAAACGCTTTGTCGATTTCAACTATTCGCGAGTTATCAATGTATATCTCGCAATCTAAGGCAGATAGCAAAATTTCTGTTATGACCTTTCTGGTAGAGCACATTGGGAGCTTCAAAAAAGATAGATATGAAAATCTCGCTATCTCCCTTAGATTTGGAGATATTCATCGAAAACTCAGCTAAGAGCTAAGTCGACTTTAACCGTTTGACCACTTCGCTGCTGAAATTTTCCTATGAACAATAAAACGTCCGAGTGCCAACAAAATTTCTTCCTCCCGTTGCTCACATAATAAGCGCTATTCCACTTGGTTTCCATCAGCGATAATTCCCGAGGTCATACAGTTTAAATCCACCGGAACGCAAGAAGCCGGACGTTTATTAGCGTGAAAGAACTATTTAATAAATTCAATTTCATTCTTAAAACCCCAAATCCTACCGTTTCACGAAACACAGCCCACACAATTCCTCAAATCCATCAACTATTCACCGGAAAATCCATTTGTTTACAACAAATTATTCCGGGATTTATGCGTATCGATATACGTACTTTCTAATCGTTTTTATCCGTGATCTATTTATACACAAAAACCGGAGACTGTGGTACGCAGTACGTGAGCAATAGTACATGAATTATTATTGGAAAGGGAATGGAGTCTCCAACACCCAGTGCTCAATGATGGTCAACAAACATCGAGAGAGACTGACCGAATATATTTTTGTTGTGATGTAATATGCAGAATTTTCACGAGATTTAAATTGCCAAATGGCCGGTATTTAAACGATTCGACGAAAGCAGGGGAATTAATTGAAGAGTCACTGTTATCTTCAATAAGAGAGTCCATTTTCCGGTGAAATATTTTCGTAAAATATTTGGAGGCCAATTCTCCTGAGATTTCCCCTCAAATGCAATTAATCACCGCTCAATTCCTCGCGATAAATAGTAAACACTCACGATGAACACTCGACAGTCACCCCAGCGGCTTGAAAAAATCCAGATAAATAAATTGAGAGTAAAATTAAAAACAGAATTCACAGAAGTGGAGCAACTGAACTCAACTGAAATATCGAAGGACTAAACCGAAAGTACTAAGAGGACCTGCCGAGCACCTCAGCATGTTTGACCCTCCCCCCACCGGTGAATAACCCCCCTCCAACCGGAGTAAACAGGGTATTCGGCTTGTTCAACCGTAGTTCAGTTTTACGATGTCTTCCAGGTAATGATACCAACCCAACCCTTAGCCGTGGACTCAATCCTCGGGCGGAGTTTCAAACTAGGGTGATAATAAATGGAGGGGAGGGGCACGGGTACACCAGGTGGAGTACCTGCTGCCACATGCCCTACCGGATCAGCGATTTATTGGAATTCTCTTCTTCCGAAATTAGAAATTTCGTTGTTCCATTGATTCAGCAGCTGCCGAATGGACAATTCTCTGTATTTTTCATTTTTCGTTCAAAATCGGAAAGGACGCGCGTTTTTCGTGGTGTTGTTCAGTAATTTTAATTAGTTTTTCAATTAAAAATATTTTTCATCACTTGTGTGTAAAGTGAAATTTTTGATGTGCGCAAAATCCCACTTTTCACGCTTGGTGATGGAAAATAGGGTTCGACACTCGTGGGACAAGTGCTCTTTGACTCTTGGGAGCGCTACACACCTCCCACAGGTCGAAAAACAGTTTGGCCCTTCCCCAAACTCGTAAAAGTGAAAATTACTAGGGAAAAATATCGTTTGCGACTAGTGCCATGGGGTTTTTTACTCGCGTGGTTGGCCAGTCGTCGCCCTCGGCGCGGCGTGCCAACCTCACACAATCGAAAACCCCATGGCGCTCGCCCTGAAATGCAGTATTACGCCCTCGTATCGAAATCAGTAGCGAAGTGGTAAAAGGAGATAAGTCAATTTTGACTATTGACCAGTTTTCAATCAATATCTCGGAATCTAAGGGAGATAGCGAAATTTTTGTAACAACCTTTTTTGTGGAGCCGATTGAGTACTACAACAAATGTAATTACGAAAATTTCGCTGTCTCCCTTAGATTCCGAGATATTGATTGAAAACTGGTCAATAGTCAAAATTAACTTATCTCCTTTTACCATTTCGCTACTGAAATATACTATTATGCATTGATTTTTTTAACTAGTATACAATAAAAGAATATGCCGAGGTGGATCGATTTCGCCTAGTATAGCTAGACTTAGGAGTATTTCGAGTTTATCTGCGCTTTTGAATAAAAAAAAATACTTATAAATGAAATGTGTAAAATAACAATGGTAATGATATATATGATATATATTATTTTATACATTTTATACATAAATAAGTATTTTTTATTCATACGCTAAGATAAACTTGAAATATTCCAAAGTTTCAAATTGAAAATAAAATTTCTTCGCATATTATGACCGCGTAATATGGCCCCAGAAGTGTATTTTTTCAATCATTTCTAAAATTGAAACATAATTAAAGCGGACATTCACTCCTTTTTAATGAATAAATTAGTACATAATAAGGAACAAAAATAATATGCATAAATAGGCGCGCGGGCGCCTCCGTTCCTAGTCAATAAAAAATTGCAATAAAAATTATTCCACGGTGTTTAATTTCACAAATGAAATCATTGATTCCATTGGTTCTATTGTACTTTCTATTATTTTCTGACCGATTCTATAAACAAATTCCGCAGTTTCCTTGCACTTTTTTTCAAGAAATTTTCAATCTAATACATTCCATAGAAAAAAATCAGTAGAATGAATTTTTCTATCGAGATTCCTCGGCTCAAATTGACTAAGTATTTTTGTTTGATTTTTCTAAATGAAAAAAAAGAAAAGAACAGTAGAAAAAGAAATAGAAAATTCAAGTCAAAGAATTTCTGTAGAAAATATCTCAATAGAAAGATCAAAGTCTCCTGACTTATTACATAAAATACTCTCCATAAGACATAATCTATAAAAAATAACGCGGAGTAAATCATCGAAATTGTTTTCCATCGAATTTCCAATGGAATTTCAATAAAAGTAAAAAAGAATTTCCTCTCTATTCTCCAATTTTTTCCACGAAACTTTTCGCGCGCGGCGGCTCAAAATTTTCCCAAATATTAAAAAAACTGTAAAGAACACTCTGCGATTGTTTGCGTGGAGAACAGCCATTACAACTTCAGTAAAATCTCGGTATTAAATTGAAATGCGAAGCCAGGGACAAGAAGTGTGATGACCATGCTACAGCCTCCAGTCCGAACGTTCTCTGAGAGATGCCCGAGGCGATGAAATAACTCGGATAAGCAAGGCTCTTACAGCCGCGGCATCTCCACCTGGATTACGCTTTTCTCTGCTACGTAAACACAACTCTGTATCTATATTTTTACATCCCCGCTTGTTCCACATAAAGACTATTTTTTAAATCCACATATTCCCCAAGAGACGACGATAATTCCGTCAGAGCCGGAATTTTATACCGAAAGCCGCGAAATTCAAGGGTTTGAGGATGAGACGCGGTTCATCATCTTGACACATGTGTACTATTTACCTGAAGCTATTGAATACCCTCGTTAAAATCCAACTTGAGGTTTCCTCACGTTATATTCCCAGTTACCTACGCCGGAGAAACTATTTTAAGATCTTGCAACCGGTTAGCGCTGCGACTCATGCGGCCACGAGACATATTTCGCTTCTCCGATCCTTTCTCGATTATCTGTCCTACGACGAAAATCCTCCCTTCAGCGAGCACCCCACGAGGAGGTCCCTCCACTCCCCCATTCACTTCCAAAACGTCCGAACAACCGCCAAATTATTCAAAAACACAGTAGAAAGCTCCTCGAAACTGCTGGAAAATAACTGACCACTAATTTCTGTGAGAAAAAAAATGCCAATTAAAATGAAATTCGAGGACGCTGCGACGAATCGAATGGTGTAGCGACACTCTTCTGACTGTGTGGGGAATCGGGAAGAGCGTGGACCCAGAGAAACTGCTGGCGGTGGAAGTGAGAGGTGGTTGGTCGTCTTGAGATGAAGAGGAAGGAGTTGTGGGGGCACTTGTAGTGGCGAGTTTGGTTCACGTGAGACAGAGACAATGAGCATTCGTAATGTGTGGAATGAAGCGAGAGAAGAGGACTTTGCGCTGCGGGATTGAGAGACGGGTTTTGGTGTTTTTTTCTTCATTTTTGTTCCTCCGAGGCACCTTTTTGTTTCACCTGAAAACGTCTCCCCCACCGCGTGAGGCGAATCCCATGGCGAACAGAGCCTTGTCGAATCGATCTGCGATGCCTGTCTCTCCGCTATTCTACCGCCAAACTACGAAGAATTTGGTGATCGTTAATTTCGGCTCATCATCACCTGGGAATATCCTTGATATCGTATTTATTTTTCTGACATTTCTCACGCTGGGAGCTCCCGGAGGAGAGGAAATTGCTTTCTAGGGGAATCCGAGGCACTCGCCTGTGCGCTAATTATCCTAGATTACAACAGGCATGACAAAAAATACGAGGGGTACGGAATTGTCATTGGAGTCTTGACACGAATGGGAAAATTGTGGATGAGGACTGAGGATATAATAAATAGAGTGGACAAAAGACACGGCTCATTGAGTTGTGTAAAACTACTAATTTAACTCCTACTGCAATCAACCGGGGCACAAGGTTCACATTTAGGCATGTAGCCGGCTCTTTCCGGTGGATTTACTCGTACCTTCCGTGAAAAAAGATTTAAAAATATTGCGGCCTCCATTTGAACTCGAGGGTTTTCCTCCGAGGCAAATAATAAATGACAAAAATTTGTAAAAATCTGTTCAAAATTACCAAAAAATAAATTGTTCGATTAAAACTTGAAAGTTTCAAACATGAATAATCGCTCTCTTTCAGTAACAGAAAAGTATTTATTAACGAACATTTCAAAAAATTGTCAATCCGATGATTTTAAAGGGAAAAATAAAAAACGGTCTTTTTCGTTTACTATCGGCGCGCAATTTATTGTACTCATCATTTTTACCACTTTTTAACCTGTCCCGTGCACGGAGAGAAATATTCAATAAAAATTACCTATCTTTTCCGTAATTCCGGAGTGAAATGTGGTTGTAGGAAATTTTACGGAACTGTCACGTAATTTTTTCAGAGCGTTTCGTAATTTTTATCTGAATCTCGTGTGAAAAATTACGATATCGTCACTTAAATTTTCTGAGTCGATTCCGTAATTGGTGAGCGGATTGAGTTCCGTAATTTTTACTGAACATTTCTCTCCGTGTGGTATTACTATTTTTCCCTCCCCTTAAACAACACTTTTCAATCTCTCCGCACGAATGTATGTTCAATAGTATAATAATAATGTCAACTGTGCGGATTTGTCGGCATAAAAAAGTCCAATTGTCGGGATGAAAAAGAAGCCGAGGATGTGGGGATCAAAGAAAGATGGTGAAATGTACAGATGGGTCAATCAGATACGAAAACACTTGTCAGGAGACACAGGAAAAAGGTAACAGGTCCACAAAAGATTGTAGACACAGGTATAAAGGTTCCTAATGACCGGGGGACCTTCTGTACGTCATCCTTATGGAATTCACCTCTCTCAAAATCGCCGTGGGGAGTCAATAACGAGGGTACGGTAAAAGCAAGAGTGGAGAGTCGTGTACCGTGCGATTTTAGCTGAGGGTGGGCGTGTTTTTTTTTTCCCCTCCAAGACCTCCCCGGTAACTATCCGTTCAAATTGGAATCCTCACCGTGTGTTTTTTGCATTTCTTCATCCCCGAGCGCCACCCGGTGTGGTCCTGATAACAAGGGCGGAGGAAAAGATTTCTGTTTGGAAAGGGAAAATAAAAAATTAGGGGTAATTGGAATTGAGGTGGATTCTTGGGTTTGTTGTTTCAAGGCAATTAACATTCCGTGGGGAATGAATTTACGGAGGACAGCGCAATTGTTCGAGGCGCATAACGGAGACATGTGCGCTCTTGTGCTTGGGATTAGTGTATGCATAATGACTTGTGCATCTGACACGAGAAATCGAGGGGAAATGAGAAGAAACCGGTCTTGACTTCGCACAGGCAATGCTACTTGCGGTTTTGATGGTTCATTGCGGATTTGAAATATTTTTCGGGTTTCTTTGAGTATTTGGGAATTTTTTTTCCAATACTCAATTTTGCTCGACATTTCTGTTTTACGGAGGCAATGGATTTATAAAAACTGATGTATAAGAAAAATACGGAATTATTTCAGAGAATGCGCACTTGAAAGTCTAGATAAGAATGTTCATGAATTTAATGGAAAATCCTAGCGCTTTTCCTGAGAAAATCTATTGAATTTTTATTTCAATTTTATTTTTACGTCAATTTGATTAGAAATTACGCAACTTCGCGCGTTTTTTAACCCGAGATCGGTCACCATATGAGCGAAATGCCGCAGCGCGTCGTTTTTATTCGATTGCCATCGACTGATTAACCGGAAAAATAAAAAAATAAATTTTTAAATTGAAGTGTCTAAAAATTATAGAGTTTTTTAGAGTAATATAATTCCCTAAATCCATAAATAAAACAAATTATTTGCAACAAATCAATTATTTGTTCCCATGTTAAGGTGAAACGGAACCCCTGTGGCTGTACGAAGTTTTAGAATTGCGTTTTCTCCTGTAATTATAATTTTTTTATATATGAAACTACTTCGAATCAGTGGAACTTTACGCACTAGTAACAAAATATGCAGTTTTCATTCTGTCGTTATTAATATTATAAGTGCTCTTGAATAAGAATTTTCTCCGTTTTTTTTTGTGGATTTCATTGAGTAGCAAATGAAAATATGGAAAAAACTTGGAAAATTTATGATTTCTATCGAAAATCAAAATTAGAATTAATCGAAATTAGAATTCTTAGACTTCCAAAGGAAATTCCCACACGGAAAATTTATATTTTGAAAAATATATTTAAAAAATATCTCAAATTGGCCCAATTTATACAAAAAAATATATAAAACATATATTGTATATATTTTTTTATATATTCTTTATAAATTTGAGAAATATATGGAATTGGCCCCCATTATATATATTTTTTGATGAGGTTTTCTATAGAATTTCTCGAAAACTAGGTTTTTCAATTAAATTTTTTCTCACGTGTCATAATAAACGTTATTCTTCGAAATCATGAAATGCGTATTACCAAAATCATTAAGAGAACAAAGTCATTCCCAATTCAAATGTTATGCTCGCACTGTTATCTTTCGCAACATATTTTGGAATCATTCTTATGGGAAACGGCTTAATGTAACCCAATCAGCAACTCATTCCGCAAAGCATAAATAGTATTGCGTAAACAATGTTTTCAAATATCCAGAAGGATCTGGTAACTCGAACATAACGGGTGTGATCTCGTAGTTTCTGGAATCGTCGTCGAGTGCGCCACCGCCTTACTGGGTCGTCACGGTCTCCAACCAGTCACTTTCCAGCAGCCAATAAATGCTGTAAACCTATCAGTGAAAACACGTCACAGCTTTCCAAAGCACCTGTCTCTCATCAATTTCGTCAGTTGAAGAAGAGTTGAAAAATTATTGAGAAAAATAGCGCATGTGGATTGAATAAAATTCATCTGTAGTCCCCTGGAGTCTTCCCAGATTGATCAGCATCTTGTGATAAAAAATGTGAGTAAAATAGAAATAAATAATGAGCATGTTTTTTAGGCAGACTTGATAGTTTTTGCTGAATTCTCTCAACATTTTCCTCCCCGGAAACTCCCAACCAAGTGATGCAATTTTAATGAATACAATCTCATTTTGAAGCTCAAAAAATATTTTGACATTGACAAATAATTCGGACAATTTCACTCTACAGTTTTTTAGTTATTGACGATTAACTGGGATTGTCCATTCTACCCGACAATCCCTTATTTTTTCCATAAATTTCCTTGATTGAGCTGGGGTTTTCCCAGATGATTAGCATTTTGTGATACAAAATGTGAGTAAAATAGATATAAATAATGAGCACGTTTTCTATGCTCAACTAATAATTTTTGCGGAATTCTCAACATTTTCAATATCATATTTTCAATGTCAATATCTACAAATCAAGTGATACAATTTTAATGAATAAAATCTCATTTAGAAGCTCAAAAAATATTTTGAGATTGACAAATAATTCGGACAATTTCACTCTACAGTTTTTTAGTTTTTGACGATTAACTGGAATTGTCCATTCTACCCGACAATCCCTTATTTTTTCCATGAATTTCCTGGATTGAGCTGGGGTTTTCCCAGATGATTAGCATTTTGTGATACAAAATGTGAGTAAAATAGATATACCTAAATAATGAGCACATTTTCTATGCTCAACTAATAATTTTTGCGGAATTCTCAACATTTTCAATATCATATTTTCAATGTCAATATCTCCAAATCAAACGATACAATTTTAATAAATAAAATCTCATTTAGAAGCTCAAAAAATATTTTGACATTGACAAATAATTCGGACAATTTCACTCTACAGTTTTTTAGTTATTGACGATTAACTGGAATTGTCCATTCTACCCGACAATCCCTTATTTTTTCCATAAATTTCCTTGATTAAGCTGGGGTGTACCCAGATCGATCAGCATTTGTTGAAAAAAAGTGAGTGACATAGATATAAATAATGAGCACGTTTTCTATGCACAACTGATAATTTTTGCGGAATTCTCAACATTTTCAATATCATATTTTCAATGTCAATATCTACAAATCAAACGATACAATTTTAATAAATAAAATCTCATTTAGAAGCTCAAAAAATATCTTGAGATTGACAAACAATTCGGAGAATTTCACTCTACAGTTTTGTAATTATTAACGATTACAGAGGGCCCACTCTACCCGACAATTCCTTATTTTTCCATAAATTTCCTTGTTTACTTTGCATTATCATCAATTTTTGTTCGATGTATGGAAGTCCCCGCTGATAAAATCACAAACGTGTTTGTGTTCTCGAACAAATATATATCGCTCAAGAAATAAAAATTATTGCTCACGCTCCCATGAACATACGTGTCATTTCACACTGTTTATACAAAGTTTCAACATCAGCTCACACCGTATGTGGTTCACAGTAATTGGCTGGCTTCATTACGTATTTCACTTTTTGCACACGCATAAGGAAAGGATTCAATAAGAGATTGGGGTGTATTTTATCGGCATCGCTTGTCCTCATCAGATTACTGATAATGAAACGAGCAATCTTCATGAAGTGTTCTATTTCCCAGATATTTAATAGTGAAATGCGTGGATTTTTGTTACTGAGCATATTTTTGCTCCTGGCGCAACAAATTGTTGCTCCTCCAGTCACTAAGACTCATGAAGTCGAAGAGAAGAAGAACGAAACTCATGAAGAGGTGAAGGACGAGGTACGTATTCTTGAAATTCAATAGAGAATAATTCGAGGATAATTCTTACTCAGGTTAATCGAGTAATGAGGATTCTTCTGATATTTCCAGATGACTTTTGAGTATGACAGGTATTTGCAGGAAGTCATCAAGGCGCTAGAGACTGATAAACACTTTCGTGAGAAGCTCGATAAAGCTGATGAAGATTACATAAGAGTTAGTAATGAAATTTTCACAAAATATTGAATATTTTGTTAATAGTCGGGAAATGGTGCTACTTCCCCCTTGTAATGAGCCTAAATTGAGCCCAAATGGTAAATCTGCTCCTAAATTACGAATACTGAAGAAAAGTCATGTGTCAATTTTGCCCCACCTTCCCCTATATGATAGTTACTTGTGATGTACACTTGGGAATTTTTTTTCTTAATTGATAATCAAATCTTTCTGACATTGTACATTTGTTTGAATTTTTTTCCAATTCATTCTAGTAAATAAATTCATACACTTGGAGAATGTTGTAATAATGCTTTACGAAAAAGAATGATTAATTTTGGGCTGAAGTCAATGTTATAATTCCCATTTGTAATATTAGTTAAGAACAACACAACGGTATTCATTTATGATTTCTTGGAGCTGTTTTTTTTATTGATAATCAAATCTTTCTGACATTTCAAATTTATTCAAATTTTTGTCCAATTCATTCTAGTTAGTAAATTCGTACACTTGGAGAATGCTTGTGTATTCGAATTGTCGTGGATTACACATTTCGTTACGTTTTACTGTTTCTTTATTTCGGTTGCTGTGATATTTTGGGAAAAAAGAATGATTAATTTTGGGTTAAACTCAACGTTATAATTCCCTTTTATGACACTAGTCAGGAAAAATTGCCAAAGAGTTGGAGTTCGTGCATCACCGCGTGAGATCAAAGTTGGATGAACTGAAAAGAACTGAGTTGGAAAGATTGAAACAACTCCATTTTAAGAAACAACAACTTGGGGAGTCGAAATTCCCCAAAGAGGCTCATCACCTTGACCACACGAATGAGCATACATTCGAGATAGAAGATTTGAAGAAACTGATCCACAAGGTACTATTTCAATTTGATATGACTAATCCTATGAACACGATTACTCAATTTTTTAAATTCTCATGTAAAGACAAATCAAGATTTAGCCGAAGCTGACAGAAGACGTAAGCAGGAGTTCAAAGAATACGAGATGCAGAAGAAGTTCGAGGAGGAACAAAAAATGAAGGGTAATTCCGGATATATTTCTGAGATTTATTGATTGATTGGAGTTTATTAACTGTACATTGTGTTGTCCAAAGTAAACATGACATAAGTCATAAAACAGGAAACAGACATAAAAAAGATTATCTTAAGCATAACAAGACACTGAAACACAATGAAGCAAAATGCGAGCTGATGCCAATGCATGAAACATCGGAAAACAATAAAAAACATAAAGCAATTATATAAAGCAAGAAGTGAAAAATATTCATGAAGACAGAACAAGAAAAATGAAGTGCAAAAGATTAAGGAAATTCATGCCGAGGAATTCCTATGCAAAAGCTCTCAATAGAAAATGTACAGAAAAATGGAATTCTACTGATTTAGTAAAACTCCGTAATTCTTAAACAGAATCTGCCAAACACTAGACTAGAATAGAATTTTCACCAGAAGTTCAATAGAAATCAAGCAGAAGTTTCTATCGAATCCTCTTTGTTTTCCTACGATTTATCTTAGCGCGTTTCATCTGAAATAGCCTAGAAGTAATGATTCCGTCATCGATTTAATAGGTTTGAACGAAGAGGAGAAGAAGAAATATGCAGCGGAATTGGAAGCAATGAAGGAGAAGCACAAGAAACATCAGCCAGTAAGAATGATAAATTCAGTGAAATGTGGAGAACAGTTATCCCCATTATTTCCTATCATTAATCGAATTGATTTCCTGCAGTTACACCACCCTGGTAGTAAACAACAGCTAGAAGAGGTCTGGGAGAAGCAGGATCACATGGAGGATCAAGATTTCAACCCAGTTACTTTCTTCTACACGCACGATGTCGATGGAAATGGCGTATGGGATCAGGACGAGGTTGAAGCCCTCTTCGTGAAGGAATTGGACAAAATGTACAATGGGAACCCTGAGGATGATCCTCGTGAGCGTGAGGAAGAAATGGAGCGCATGAGGGAACACATGTTTTCTGAAGCCGATACCAATCAAGATGGGTTTATTGAGTGAGCTAAAACGTCAATTTTTCCTTTTTGATTATGAACAATCATGACCAATTATCGATTATCTATTTGCCTTCAGCTATCAGGAGTTCCTTGCGCAAACGAAGAGGAATGACTTCCAAGAGGATCCCGGCTGGAAATCCCTGGATGAACAGGAACTTTATTCGCAACAGGAATACAATGCTTATGAAATACAGAAACAACAAGAAATTCAGAAGATGATTGCTCAAGGATTGGTGAGTATTTTTTCTTTCACATTTCGTTGTTTGGATTCTCCATTAATATTGTGAAATCATCATTGTGTTTTGACCTGCGTCAGCATGCGCAGTACAGCATGCAGCACGATCGAGGCATTAATCTTGTCATTCGAATATTCTGTTGTATTTCTCTTTATTTATTTACATGCAATGGATTTTATGTACAGAATGTAATTGATTAGGGACTAACCATGCTTGTGCACTTTTTTGTTGCTCATTAGATACCACCGCATCCAGATTACGGACACCAGGGACAGGTGAGTGGTTTCAGTTTTTTAGGAGTTGTTTTAGGTGTGATAGAATGTAGCTTTCTTTGCCGCATGACAAATGTTTGGGATTAATTTTTAATAGGAACATTGGATGTTGGATAACGATCATTCAGTAGTTTGCAGTAATTTTGTGAAATGGCCCTGGAAACACTAAGAAAAATCGATAATGTTAAAGTGTTCAAATTGATTTTACGTGGGGAATAAACACGAGATAGCATTGTCGCTGTCTTAGAACATTAGTCGTATCATTTCTCAAGTCTTAGAAACTGACTAAGACCCAGCAGAAACGTTTTACTCGATCGTTGAGTGGTTTGAAGATATTTTCACTCAAAATCTGAATGAAGGGACACAAAAGTACCTAAACATCGAACTTCCCTTGAATATATTGAAAATCATCGCGCAATGTAGACGCCAGAACTCAATTTCACCTAAATTAATTTTTCAAAATGACCTAAGATTTTCAACCGAGTCTGTATGCCCATTTTGGTCTATAACTCATGTAGAAAATAATTCTCTGCATCTTCAAACTCTGCTGTGAACATTAATCGCTTGGCGTTGATTTTTCCTACTTTATATCATTTTTGGGCTATTGGAAGGGCAAGTACATAACCAGGACATTACTCAAGCCTAGGGATCGGAGATGTATGCCTGCAACTTGATAATTGATTCACAGTCAGTTGAGGAAACAATCTCCTACAACTTCTCGATTCGCTCAGCAATAAAAAAAATCATGCAAAACCTCAACTCCGGATGTTACGTCGCAGATATCAATGTTTTGCTTTCAATCTTGCAGTTCCCACCACAACACTTTGATCCCAATCAGGCACATCACCCAGGACAAGTACCACCAGCTCATCAGCAGCAGCATCAGGGCCAGGTACCTGTGCAACAACAGCAATATCAGGGACAGGTTCCTGTGCAACAGCAATATCCGGGTCAGGTTCCTGTGCAACAACAGCAATATCAGGGACAGGTTCCTGTGCAACAGCAACATCAGGTTCCAGTTCAGAATCAACAACCGGGTCAGGTCCAGGGACAGGTGCCTGTTCAGCAACAGCAAAATCAGGTTCCAGTGCAGAGTCAACAGCCAGGTCATCCCCAGGGGCAGTATCAAGTCCCGCAAATTCCTCAAGGACAACAACCGCTCCAGCAGCAGTATCAACCACCTCCACAGCAAGTGCCACATAATCAGGTCCCACCTGTGGTCAACAACCAACATGTCCAAGACAACGCCATTCCAGTGGGGAATCAACAACATCAACCAGTTCAAACCCAAAATATCGCTAACCAACAACCACCACAGCCCTCTGGTCAGGCCCAACCGGTTAATCCCATTCATAATGCTCCCCCCAACGTCGTTCATGCGTGAAGGGATCACTTGACTAGATAATTGGATTTTCCGTGATACTCTAATTTCTATAACGAATAAATAAATTGTTATTACTTCATTCTGGAGCCGAAGTATCTGGCGAATGCTCTGTGGAGACTATTGACATGTTCGGAGGAAGTATCCTTTCTAGAATGTGTTCGGAATTTGCGAATTTAATGTTTCGTATGTTGACTGGGGAATTCTCAAAATGTGTCTCATGTTTCTGAGAGTGTTTTAATCCATTTTGAAATTAAGTGATTTCTTTGTATTATTTTTGTAAGAATAGGAGGAAGACATTAGAAATTTGGAGGGTGAGTGACGAAACATAAATTATAATCACTTTATTTTGGATTTCAAATATCAAACGAATACGAAATTTTTCCTTGCATTCTTTTTTGTAAGAATGCAATAAAGACGTTTGAAATTTGAGTGCTGACTGATAATTAAATTGTCATTACTTCACTTTGAATTTCAAGTTTCTATCGAATTTTTTCTGCTAATTATTTATATTTCCGAACGAAGTATTGATGTTGCATCAGTTATCAGTTGCATCAGTAAATTTAATATACTGTACATTTTTGGGGAGTTCTCGAATCATGTTTTATGTTTCTGGAAATGTCTTCTTCTTTTTCGTAAGAATAGAATGAAGATATTTGAAATGTGTACATTGAGTGGGGAATAAAGAAATATTCTAAAGTTCTGACGACTATTTTGTCTCAATTTTTGACGTCCTCCAGTGAACAATTTATTCTTATTATCCAAACGTGTCTTATGTTTCTGAGAATGTTTGATTTCTCAATGATGAAACAACTCCTTTCTATTCTTTTCCACAATAATCGAATGAAGACATTTGAAATTAGCACATTTAGTGAATTTTCATTCGACTCCTCACGATATGAAGATTTGAATGAACGAATGCAGCGGGAAGATGCGCCGAGGCGACAAGGTAATTAATTAACAAACTAAAATTTCAATTATATTTTTTTCTCCTCATATTTATTATTATTGCATACTGTTTATGTTAGTAATATTACTTAGGTATACGTGCCAAGTAGCAACTTAAATGTATGATTGCGTGATTTTTTTCTGTTTCTGTTTCCATATTTTCTTTTATTTCATTCTCATCCGTAGTCAACGACGGATTAAGGTAGGTAGGTAATGTACGCTTAATTCATTATATATAAGGGTGTATTTATAAGTCTAGCATATTTCGGTAGAACGTCATTCTTAACATCTACATTTTTCTTCACTTCGGATAATAAATAAAAGTTCAACAGCATTTTTTGAGGGGCGGAGAGGGGAAGGGAGGGGGGGGGGATCATCTCTCATTAAACAGTAAATTTCCATTTACCATGACATTATTTTTTTCTTTATGCAATTGTTCGGGTCTTCGCTTCGCTCGCAGAAACTGAAAGTACACTATCATACTTATTTATCATTTAAAAAAATATCGAATAATTATCCCTATAAAATGTCCAGTCGGGGACAATTAAATCGATAAAATAGAAATATAAATAACAAATTCGTCTATCTATGTAAAACGGAATATTCTCGAGTCTCATACGAGATATGTTGCAATATAAAACTAAAACATTTAAACTATCATTACTCTTTTGATTACGCCGAGAGCTTAATTAACTCACAGTCGAGGGATTCATCTTCCCATTACCACTGTTTAATATAATTGCACTCGATATGATCATAAGCTCTCAGTGCAAGGACATACATTCAACGGAATAAATTAAGAATGATTTATACAATTATCGATGAATTCCCCCGAGCCATCGACCTATTATTTTTCTCGAGAATCTCACTATCACTATTCGACTATTACACCGCTATATTCAACTAATCGTAAAGAAATCGAAAATAAAATGTCGGATAAATACACTTGGCCCACTGGGGGGAATTGAAATTAACAGATAATAAATTCAAACGTCGAAGCATTTTCTCTGCCTCCGAATAAATCATAAGTAATTATAAATACAATTCAATTGAATAGAATAATACATTTATTGAACCTGCCGTGCGATGCTGCGTCTTCCATATTTACACTCTTGCACAAACGTCTGCTTGGCGTTTTTATCAACTTTTTGTTATTATCTATGTTCTTTTGCGCGTGAATATCCTCACTCGTTATTCCTGAAATTGTCTTCATTTACTGTGAGGATTGCTGGATGTAGCTTCTTATATTGTTCTATTGTTTCGGGTGCTATCATGAATTGAGACCAAATAATGTGAACTCTAACTTGAAAAATTACTAACGAGTTTTCTCTGGTCAACTAGGAATTCAACTATTTTTATTCTCTACCTCTCAACTGCAGTTTTTAGTTTAGCGGGGCAAAAGAAGCATTTGTGGTTTGTTCGGTTTATTCTGTAGGCTCTGTACTTCATCGTCGTTACCTGTCATGTACGATTCTTTTTTTTTCATCGAATTTTAATCGATAATTCAATGCGGATTCTGTCGCTCTTTGTGTCAGTTGTCTTTACACTCGTTCATTGGTTATCATCTCTGAGAAATGAAGGATTGTTGAGTATGATTCTAGTTATTGCGGCGTGAAGTTGATGATCGTATAATTAATTAGCTTTGATATTGGATCTCATTTCAATAATAATTTCTTTGTATTCTATTCAAACGAATGGGCGTTCTCCAAAAACCTGCTCGTGAAATCCTGCCTCTGAATTTATATCTCTCTCGAGACTCCTATTGATTGCGTCCTACCACCAAGACCCCGTGATTTCCGTTAGCTAGTCTAGAGGATCGTCTTGTAAATCAAAGGTAAATTTACTTAATTGTTCTCGTAATTTTCTTTCTTGTGTTTTTTTTTGGTAAATGCACCCCAGCAGTAACCGTATCGATATACATATATCAATTTATATATAATAAATATTTATATCCTTTATATAATCATTTCATGTTCACTATATCAATATTAGCGTACTAGATACTTTTTGTGTTTTTTTCCTTTTTCTTCACTTACATATTAAGTATGTAATATAGGTATTTATGTATTTTTTTTGTTTATTTCTTTCTTCTTCACAGATATATCAAAATGTGGAAACGAAGGATTTTTTTTTCATCATCTTTTTTAAATTTATTCTCAGAGCTCACGTTTTCATTTATTTATTTTTAAAAATTCTCATTCTCATATCGTTTCGATAAATGGAGGAAAAAAAACAAGTTCAACTTCCTACAGACATGCCATTCAGGGTATTACCGGTGGTGGATCGATCCAAACGGAATTTAATTATTGTTTCTTCGGAGTTTTTATAAAAACGCGTGACGTGCAAATGCTAACGGGCAGGCATTTGAGGTGTTCCCGGCGTTTGCACGACAGGCGACTTTTCTCATCAGCTTTTTTCATTTTTAATACCATACACTCAATTCACAAACACGCTGGTTATTTTTAGTATTTTTTTTTCTTCATCGACACATTGCAGTTACCAATTTGTTTTTCTCTTTAATTCCTGAAAGTGTTACTTTGAAATTTTTTAAACGACGAAATTTTGAATTTCTTTTCTCTTCACTTACAACTGGTCACGATCTACGGGACTCTTTAAACAATTTTTTCTTTTGGAAGGCACTTACTACTTTTTTTTTATACATTATTTAATTTTATTTTCTCACGTATCAATCTTTCAAAAACTTTCGCACACTCGCTTGCTCTCGGTCTCGCGATTTTGTCGTGTAAGTTTAAATTTTTTTTTTCTTTCCGGTTTATCTGAAAGTTCACTCTGAACACATTTAAGCCTAGATTGTAAAAACCGTATCCATTGTTTCCGCTTCAGGGAATTTTTAAAGCGACTCGTTGGAAATAAGAAAGTTCAGGATTTATTTTTTAATACGTATACGATATCAACAGGACGACGAACGGCCCGTGGGATTTTTTATTACGTTTTCTTATTTAGATGGTAAACGCAAAATTTCCGCATTGATCGTTCATTTTTTACTTTATAGTAATTTTTATTCTTTTCATTTTGTAATTTTCGCACAAAAATGTTTGTATCAAGAATATCATTTTTTAATATTAATCACCGTCGTGCTAATTAGAACGAATTTGACTCGTTATCACTTGTCTCGACGTCAAATTAGTTCAGTTATTATAGGACAACTTGAGTTACGCAAAGAAAATTGGAAAAAATATGTGTGAGAACGAATTCTATCGCTGAAAATTGGTAAGAAAAATGAAACAAAAAATTGCTGATTGAATTCTCAAAAGAGGAAAGAGATAAAAATAATACTGAACTAATTTGAGCGCCAGTATTTATCAAGAAAACGTTAAAAAACGACCGAGACGCGCGAGAACTTTCTTTTATCAATTCCTGGACAAAAGAAACTACAACATTGGAAAGAATGCCAAAAAACAAGATTCTCATGGAGATTTGTTTTTCTTTTTTTACGAAGGCCACTTCGAATTGTTTTTTTCTTTTTACACTAGAGAAATTCCCAAGGGGATGGGTATTTTTTTTCTGAATCGAGAATCCCAGGGTCCCATTGGCCGAAATAACGCACGGCAAAATTTGTCATTTTTTTTTCTTTACAATTTTGAAAAATAGCACGATCTCTCGAATAAACAAAGAAAGGCAAGCTCTCATCCATCACAACAATCAGAAATTCTCACCTTTATGTTCAGCATTCACTCGCACACTCGGATGATTCGAATACTCTCCAATTTCCTCAAAGATCCAGTCTACGTTTTTTTTTCAAATTTTTCCATAAACACTTTTTTCCCTTTGTTTAATACCTAAATCTTATAATTTTTATACTTGGCATACCCCAAATATGGCAGGAAGGCAATCATTACTTAAATAATTCGACTCTCTTTTCAAAATCTTGTCGAGTTGTTGCACCTTTCAATATAATTTCACGTATTCCCACCACGAAGTCTTCATCTCCATTAAAATTTTAATGCTCTCCCCCTTTTTACTTCATTCTCGATAAGATGAAGACAAGTGACAAATTTTGTACATTTCTTCCCCTATCGTTTTAAGTAGTATCATAAAAAAATGGCCACATTTATTATTCGGGAGAAAATCTGGAAAGTTGAAATTCATCTGTATCTCCTTTTGGTGTTCACAGGCTGAACACTTGTCGAAATGACAAAAAAAACAATTAATATTCATAATAAATATGCGTGGACGTTCGATTGACTAGAAAATGACAATAGCGCCATTGCACCGTCATTTTAATGCAAAGAACTAAAAATTGGCGTTTTATTTTCCCGTCGTTAACTCAATAAACAGTTTCGACGTGTGTTCAGCTGTAAAATTAAAGTGACCATTAAATGATTCCCATAAAAAAAAGAAAAATTTTCCCTATAGCATGCAACCGATCCTCATCAAACTATTATACATTTGGCATTAACACATAATCCGTATTGCATACATATAAATTATCTTGAGTACGATTTCCACAAAATTTTCCCCATCTTACTGACGAAGAACTAATCGTTATTACATTTGTATTTTCATTCGGGATAATTTTGGCGCAAATTCGGTAATCGACGACTAAAATTTTATAATCCTAAGACCACATCTCCACTCTACTCCACGTTTAATCATAATATTTTGTTTCACCATCTCATTTATAACTTAATCCTCAAGTACTCCATTCAGTGTCACATTAAAGTGACTCAAACACTCAAGGGGTACGAGACAAATAACTCTTTACAGTGCTCGTAATATTCTTTTGATTTTGACGTGTTCTCCCGTGTTTTCAACATCGAAAAAATGTTTAAGACTCTCAACAGTTACAGGTTCCCTCACCCATTCCCTTAATTACAAATTCCTCGTCCCATCCCAGGGGAGAAATGTAACAATTGAGATTGAGCCTCATAATTTCTCGTGAGAACCAAAATGAGAATTTTCCTTCGATCATTGAATAAAAAAAATTACTGCTCGCTCCTGGAATCAGTCAAGGGTTCGAGTTTAACTGGCACTTTGTCCTTGTCCTTGTGGCCATGTGAACTCTTCACGAGGTCTGAGATGTCCTCCTGGAATATGTTCTCCGGTCTGGGGCTGACGTAGCTGCGCTGGGGCTTGTATGTCATACCACTGACGCCAATGCCAACTTCAACGCTACTTGGGATGTGGGCTGGATCCATCAGTGGTGCTAGGGGGCTGGCGAGTGGACTGCCCTCCATGGGACTCTCTGGGGGGCCCCCCGAGCCTGGACTCGGCAGACCCAGGATCAACGGGGAATTGCGATTGTTGTTTGTGTTATTGTTATTACTCGAACCACTGTTATTGTTCAAGTGGTGCTGGCTTACTTGGACAGCTGCTTGGAAGTTTGCTGAGAGATTTGTCGCGATCATGTCGTGTTGGTGGGACTGGGCGGCTGCTACCATGCTGCACATTTGATGCCGAAGGCCTGAAATATGAGGAAACATCAAATATTTTTTTTCTGGGTATTTTTGGGGAGAATAGGGTCTTGTGCTGGATATTTCGGAAAAACATTTTTAATTCTGTTTTTGACAATCTTAGGGAAAAAGTGAAATTTTACGGATAGTTTGGGAGAAATTTTCAGGAGGGGGATGGTGAATTCAATTTAGGGGAGGATGAATAATGAAGTTTCAGATTTCAATGGGATTTGATGAATTTCGAAATTTTTGAGCAGCAGGAAGACGGGAATTAGTATCGAATTTTTGAGTTCCTATTGATTGAGAATTCAAGAATATATTCATTAGAATTTTTCTGATTTCTATCTATTTTTGTGGAATTGAAATTAAATTTATAGGATTCATGGATATTTCAAGAGAATTTTAAATTTTCCATGACGGTATTCCCTGAAATTCCAGGAAAACTATAGTGTGATGAACAATTCTACAAAGTTTATCAGACATTTCAGTCAAAAATAAATTTTGAATTTTAATTAATTTAAAATTCAAGAATATATTTACTAGAATTTTTCGGATTGTTATTAATTTTCGTGAAATAACTGAGCTCAAATTTACAGGTTCCATTGATTTTTACCCAAAATTTTAAATTTTAATCACAAAATTCTTTGAAATTTCATGGGAACTGCAATGTGATAAAAAATTCTAAAAAGTGTACGGGAAATTTCAGCCAAAAATCAATTTTATTTTAAATATTTCGCAACTTTTATCGCGCACTGTTGACTAGTAATCACCGAGGGCGACAATGAATGTGATTTGAAAAAAAAGATCATGAAATTTCAAATTTCACTAAAAATTCAATGACATTCAAAATCTTTGCGCAACGAAAGACGAGAATCCTTACTTTCGCGAATTCTTTTACTTGAATTTTCAATAAAAACATGAATAACCAGCCCCGAATTACACGGAATTGATTTGTCCTTAAAATTTTGAAGTTCTAATGACAAAATTCTTCGAAATTCCAGTGAAACTTCCAAAAATTGTGTCGGAAATTTCACCCAAAGATGTTTAACAGTGAAAGGATTGAGTATATCTTGCCTAATGTCGCAGGCGTTGAGCAAGTATTTCGATATTTATCAGAGTGGTGAAGAGGTTCTGGGGTGAGAGTTTGGGTTTTGAGGGAAAATATCGTTGGCAATTACCTTGGGCGACCGCGGCAACCGCAGCAGCCGCAGCAGCACCAGGGCTCACCGCCCCCTCTGGCCCATTGCACGCGTAATTCGCTAGGCTTGGATACATTGGATTTGGCTCGTCCTTGACGATGGAACCGTCACGGAATACAACAGCCCTGATAACACCGCGGATGTGCTCGTCTGGCCACACACCCAGTAGAATCCTCTGGGGTCTTCCTCGTCCCTTTGGCCGTAGATCTGATTAGTGGGGAAAGAAAGCGAATTATTCGTTGGGAATCGACACAGTCAATTCTACCTTCACTTGCTATTTGGATGACTCAGTTGACTACTCGGAAAAAGTCAATGTTTAAGCCTTTTTCGCCTAGGGGATGAAGTGTCTCGAATGTTACGGATGTTTCATTATTTTTTTTGTGTAAATAAACCCTAGAATAAGATTACTTTACCCTCTAGGCAGAAAAGGATGGAATTTCCTCGAAAGAGGGTTGATTTTCGTTCATCACTATTGGAAAAAAACTGAAATTTCATCGACAGTTGACTAGGAATTTAGGGGAGTGACATTTCATTCGATTTAGAAGGAAAAATCATGCAATTACCGGAAATCCAATGAAACTTCAAATTTTTGAACGCCAGGAAGAAGAGGAGACATGAATATTATTGCCAAATTACACTGAATCTTTAAGTGATTGAACATTAAAGAATATAGTAGTCAAACTCAAATCTACAGTTTCCATTCATTTTTCTAGAAAATTTTGAATTTTGAATTATGAAATTCCTTGAATATTTCAGTGAAAATATGTGATCATAATTTTTAAGAAGTGCATTGGAAATTTCCTGATTTTCCTGATTTCTATCAATTCTCATGGAATAATTGAACTGCAACTGACCGTTTTCATTGATTTTTCCATAAAATTTTCGAATTTTCGATTAAAAAATTGCCATCAATGGAATTATAATTCGATGAAAATGTCCAGGTGCGTCCGAAATTTCAATCCAAAAATTTCCAACAGCGATGATTTTTTGCATGCAATAACGCAACCTCCCATCGAGTAAATTTTTCACGAAAATTATCACCAAAGAGAGTGGGAAAATTTTGTCAACGCTATTAACGTACTCTGCTCTCGCAAACAATAAAATAACGAATTAAAGCGACCCCTGACGTTAATACAATGTGCCGTCAAACGGTGTAACTGGGAGAAAACACTACGGGTCGCCCTAATGCGTCCAACAAACGAGCTCCAGTACGTTTGTAATTGCGTCTTTTACGAGCGCAACTAAATTCAAATGCACACTCCATAGGTTTGGATAGTCACGGACATTCCATTGACTCTTTCACACTCGGTTATGGAATATTCACCACTATTATCACTGGGCGATTGGTTTTAGCTGTTGAGTTTTATGAATGTATTCACTCACTGATTGTTACTCCCGAGAGTGCAATTGCGTCATCAAATAGTTATTTATCGTTTTTTTGTCTTTTGTTAATAAAAAAAACTGGAAAATTGCAACTAACACTCACCGGCCCCGCCATCGGAGCTCGGTCCTAGCATGTTGTGTACGCGATTCGCGTATAAGACGAATGTTGGGTATGGAATATCGTATTTTCTGGAAAAGAAGAGAATTCGAAATGAATTAGTCACTGATGCAGTAAATTTTTCTGTGAAATCAAGGGTTGAAATATGAAAATTTAAACAAAAAAAATAATAAATGTATTTTTTTGTTGAGAGAATAATGAATAATGAAATTGAGAATAATGAAATTGAGTGTTGACACATGAAAATTAGATGAAAAATAATGAACAAGAAATTTTTCTATTTTAAAAAATCATAGGGGATCAAAGAAATGTAGAAGACAGAAAAATAAGGGCCTGCGCTGAAAAAATTCTTGTTTTCATGATTTGTTTCTATGCACTTCCAATTTTTCTATATGGAATATATTCATGATTCATGTTCCGCGAAGCGCAATCATTTTGAGATTTGAGCCATTGAAAACTGACATCGGCACAGCTGGTTAATATTACCCAACAATTTATAAATTACTAGTAATTTATTATTACTATATTACTATTTATAAATTAATCATCAATTAAATATTCAAATTCCGAATTAATTTATCAATCAATAATTGAGTTCGGGAGATTAACGATTATTTGGCTGATCAAAAAATCCTTTTATGAAATTTAGAATTATTTACTCAATAATCAATTGAAAATTCCGCATTGTCAATTACTCAATTCACAGTTAATTGAAAATTTAAATTATCAATTATTTTGTTTTTGATTCGTCATTAAATTTTCGTTTATATCAATAAATTTTTTCTTGGGAAATGAAATGTTGAAATGTGAGAATGAGATAAAAAATAACAAGAAAAACATGTTTTGTTTTACAAAAATAATACGAAATCAAAGAATTATCGAAGTTGAAACAATAAGCGTCTAAAATTCGTAATTTGTTATATATTCCAATCAGAAGAAATTTTAATGCACTTGGGAAATTTAATTACCTTGCTGCTTGACTCAACGAAAGTCCCTCCTTCAAAACACTGAAGATCGCCTCAGCCATAGTCTCAGGCCTCCACGATTTCAGCGGTCCACGTTCCCGAAAGCGTAGATTATGAACAAGTCCCGAATTCGTATTCCAGCATTTTTGCCAGAGCGACTGTAGTTGATACTGGTAGCTGTCTGCTGAAACATCCCCCCGTGGGATAAGAAAAAAAACGGGGGAAAAATTCCATTAGAAAAATGCTCTCAATTCCACGAGTAATATGAGAAGAGAAAATTGATGATGTAATTAGACGATAAATCAGTGATAATATATTTCCCACAATATCCCAGAATGATAAATTAAACTATTTGTTGTTATGTATTTTTTATACCTTCCGACGATACTCATCTGAAAGAAAAAACCACCACAACATGAGCAATTAATTCCAATAAATTAAGAAGAGAAAAAATATATAATTGGGTTAATTGAGGGTCAACACATTGTATTCTTCAAGTGATACAATAGTCACAAAAAAGGCTATAAATTTAACACAGCTAACTTTTTTTATACTCAACAATGAACGACTTACACAATAACTTAAATAATTCATCGACCGATCGATCGTAGATCGATAAAAAATCTCATCCAAGTATCATTGAAGAAAAAAAAAGGTAGGAATGACAGAGTTGAGAACAAAATGGAAAAAAAAATACTACATAGCTGTTATGAATAATCTAAAAATATCAGCAGTGATGTAAGACATGAATTTGTCAAGAAAAATACTTGAGCACCCGGTACTGCCCTCGTCAATGGCCTCAATTCGCGACGATTATTTAATAGTTTCAGTTATTGGGTGATTAATACAATTAATCGGAAATCACATACGCACGCCCATTGGAATTGCTTCTATCTTTGGAACGAATAAATGCCAGAATTGCTCGAGTAGGCTTTTATTAACTACTTAAACGTTTTTTCATTTGTTAATTTTCTAAACTCACCAAATTGAGCATTGCGCTTTTTGTCTTTTATTTTTCTCGTCGTTTAAAAGCCATTATTGGATCTAATGAAGTGAAATAGCACCACATGTTCTTCGATTCTCGCTACAGTCGAATGGGAAAGTACAAAAATTGGGGAGGAATTCCGCATACATATCTTTGAGCAATTGATGTCGTTACAACAAATGAAAAATCAGTTGATAAAGATAATAATAACAACAATGAATGCTGGAATCATTAACGAGTTCTCTTACGTTTAGAATTGAGCAGAGTTCAATATTTTAGCGTTATTATGCACTTTATACACAGATTTTTTAGAATAATAAATTACAAATTTATATTTACTTATGTAATTATGTAAACGATTGGAAAGGCAGTTGGAAGGCACTGAATTTTGTTCTATCACTTTTCTATTGGAATTACTTGATAAAGTATTAATATCATTATTCGTTATCGTTCTCGTCGTTGAAATAAAGCGAGACAATGGAATGTTTTTTACAAAATGCCCACCACCATCTGAACCCAGACAATCCTGTGAAAGCGAATACAGGATCTCTCCGTCTTTTGAGTTTCTCAACAAAATTTAATATCGAGTTTAGAGATTTCTTGGTTCTGCGATTGTAAGGGCTGACAGTTATGTCACAACAGAATTCAAGCACCGCGTTTTCTTCACTCGAGTCGAGTCCAGCCTCCTCAAGTACCATCATCCTCTTCGATTTTCCAAGGATGTTGTCGTAAAGGGTACCTTTCGGTATTCCATACTTGGTTGATGCCTGAGTGAATCGCATTTTTTGGGTAACAACAGCCTCAATGGCTTCCTGAAGATCATGACGAGTCCACGTTGGTGCCTTCAGCTTCAGCAGGCTCGAATATTCAGCTAAAATACACAGCGAATACTGGGGACTTTTGTCTAAATGCATGAGGAATTCTTAGTTTACGCTGCATTTGATATTTCTAAGGATTCATTTTTCATATTTCGGTAAGATTTTTATTCTACGGTACGCATCAGTTTTAGTGATGCGGCGGCAGACGGAGAGTGAAAGTTTATCCCCCTTTTCCATCATCTGCATTCTGACACAACCCCCCCACACGCTTGCCAGTAATTAACGCCGTTTATACCCCACGATTTACGCTCAGCGCAGTTTACAACGTTCCACCCTTTTGCCCGATTTCACAAGAAAGATCGACCGTTATAACCCGTCCAAAATCCATCTCCATCAAGTTCAGTCATTTGATTATTTTCGGGGAAGGATAAATTGAATAATGAATTAATAATCGGGAGATTAAACAGGCGAGAAAAATCTAAATGATTTCTTTTGTTGATTGCGTACGGAAAAAGAAATCTGTTTGAATTGACCTCGATTTTGTTAATCATGTCGCCTGTCAACTTTTGAGGAATTTATACCCGAACTCTAGTAGAAAATGCCATAATGTAGATGGTAGGTGTTTTTATCTGACATTTCCGAGTCAAATCGCGGATGCTTCAAGAAATTTCGTGATTTTATAAGAAAATCGATGGTAATTGCAAATTTCAGTGCAGTTATTCAGTGAAGGTTAAGGAAATTTACGAAAATTCAAGTGAATATATTCTTGGCTTTCACATGAATTGAAAATTTAATTAATTACTATAATACCTATCTCCATTGGGTCCAGTCATTTCATTATTTTTGAGAAATGACAAAATGAATAATGAATACAAAATAAGGAGATGGGAGAGTCAAGAACAAGCTAAATGATTTTTTTGTGGTTGAGGGCCTACGGAAGAAGAAATATATGTTATAAATTACCCTAGATTTTTGTAATTATGTAGTCTATCAACTTTTCAGGAATTTATACCCGAACTCTAGTAGAAAATGCCATAATCTGCATGGATAGGTTTTTGTATCTAAATTTTCCGAGTTAGATCGCGGATATTTCAAGAAATTTCGGGATTTTTATAAGAAAATCGATAGAAATTGCCAATGTCAGTGTAAGTATTCAATGAAGATCAACAAAAATGAGGAAAATTGAATAGAAAATTTCATAAATTACCATAATATCTACTTGTCCTTATCATGTCCAGTCATTTGATTAATTTTGCAGAAAAACCCAGATATTTTTTTTTCACTCATTCAGGAATTTGTAATAAAAATAATCAAGTTCATTTTCTCAATTTGAATTTTTTTTTCCATGAGAAATATAAAATGGAATAAATAGACTGCACCCATCCATAAAAAATCCCTGAAACTGCAAGTGGTAGTGTCAAGTGGTGCTCAAGTGTTTGAAATTTTATCCGGTTGGTAAAAAAAAATCACAAAGTTTTGTAAATGAAGGATGGAAAGCCACCTGTTGGTCCACCGGAAAATCCCCGAGTTTTTCTATTTTCATTCCTCACCCAATGTAATAATTGTTTTGTTACCATGAAAATGCGTCAATATTATTAAAAAAGAAGTAAAATTACAAAAAAAAAGGATCATAAAAGTGATGAAACAACATCGCAATTGTGAGTGTGTAAAATTAACGATGATTTGAGTGCATAATCAGACACGGTTTTTGCGTCAGACGGTGAATAAAAATCTCGCGTGTTATCAGAGATGCCATTAAAACGTAACTCCCGTCGACACCTTTGAGTTTCTATCTAAATTGCTCTCTATATAAAAGCAAAATGCATTACTATGGGTTTATTATAGCCCCGTAACGACGCCTCACTGAACAAAACGTTTATTAATAAATTTTGTAGTTGCAAAATTGGAGAAAGAACACAGAGAAAAAAAATCCGTCGTCCAGGGGCAAAAAAACGAGCGAAAATACTGAATTCCAGTGAAATTTCTCCGAGAATTAGGGAAAAATTTCCAGGTCTCAGTAATTTTTACTGAAATCCAGTACCCATAACACTTGAATCACACGGAGAGAAACGTTTGGTAAAAATTACGGAACTCACAATTCGCTCACCGATTACGAAATCGACTCAGAAAATTTATGTGACGGTATCGTAATTTTTTACAGGAGATTCAGATAAAAACTACGGAATGCTCTGGAAAAATTTCATGACAGTTCCGTAAAATTTCCTACAATCATATTTTACTCCGGAATTACAGAAAAGATGCGTAATTTTTATTGAATATTTCTCTCCGTGCAAGGCACTTTGGTTCTGCACTGAGAGAAAAACGGAATCTCGAACAAATTTTGAACCAATAAAATCGCTAGTTGAAAATTACAAAAAAAATAAAATCTAGTGCTGACATTTGACGAATTATTTGGTGAATTTCGACAACTAGTTGGTGAAATTTAACGACTAATTGATTAATTTCGAATTCTTAATAACGAAATTACGTGAAATTTCAATGAGAAAAAAATTTCAAGGAATTCACAGCAGGTTTCAGCCAAAAATAGTTAAGCGTTATCTGTAAAAAACCAGGATGAACCTTTAATTCCATAAATGCAATCAAATCCATAAATGCAATCAATTTTGACCACCAAACTAGATGGTGAGGGCACAGGGGAGGTTGGGGTAAAACGGACACTTTTGACTTCTTTTTAAATGTCAATGAGAGGTTGAAATGTTGATAAAATTTAATGATTTCTCTTTCAATACATAGAGCAATTCTTTCCCTTCGTGACGGCCCTAAACTGAGCTCAATTGATAAATTTGTTTCTGAGTTATGGATAATTAAAAAAAAGTCTGTGTCCGTTTTACCGCACCCTCCCCTATATCCATTTGGAAACAATTCCGCAATCATTTGTATCTTAATGTCTCGCCTAGAAGATATCGTAATAAGGTTTCGCAATAATCTACAATCTGTTGTTAAATTTGCTCCATAAAAAAAATTGACGAACATTCATCGAAAATTCAACAAATGGTTGTCGAATGAAATTCAAAATCATTTCTGAATTTTAATTCATTAGATATTAAATTTCACAAACTAGTTGTTGAAATTCACCAAATAATTTTCTCCGTGTGTTCTGAGAGGAAAAATTTCTGCTGCAAATATGGATTTAGTCGTTCCAAAAAATTAGTATCCTCTGCGTAATCAAGAAATCTGGGAGACCAGAAGCTTTTTTCTCTGTGAAGACGAGTGAATGCTGAGTGCAATGACAATTCGAGGATCCCCGTATCGATCCTCGTGATGGTCTTGTCGCCTGTATCCTCCCTTCAACATTGCTGACTCTCGTGACCCCCTGGGGGCATTACCGACAGAACAAAATGCGATCTATCATCGGTATTCAACCGATCGTCAGTTGAATCATCGGGAAAGGTCATGATTTCGTAAACATTTCAGGTAAAAAAAATCGATGCAATTAATGGGGTTTTCGGGACGATTGAGGGAACACTCACCTGATATATTGGAGGTGGAGGCACCGAGCCAAGCATGGGAAGACTCCAACAACTTGGCCTGAAACATGAAAGAAAATTTTTTTGTTAGAAAAACTGGAAAATGGTTGAATTGAGGTTAAAATACTGCTGGAACTTACAATAGTTGTGGAATAATTCTTAGTAGCATAGATCGGCATCAATCATTACTTTAGTAATATTATGAGAAGTTGCACATCACAGTAATTTAGATTTATTTATCGTAATTGAAATTTGAAAAACAATATAATAATTGGTAATTTAATTTCTCAATTATTTGCTGATAAAATAATTCGGGATTTGAAAATTTAAATTGATCGTTATTTTTTAAATAAAAAAATTTGTGAGTAATATTAGCGATTGACTTATTCCAAATTTAACTGTAATTCAAATTTCGATTATGCCGATATCTGCTTAGTAGATTTTTCCTCTGACATTTTGTTATTTAATTATATTTATTGTAGATGAAAAAAAAATTATATCTATTTACTTTAGTTCACTGTAAATTATAATTTAATGAGAGAATGCTCAAAAAATGCGATAAATAAATAAAAACTGCAAAATCTCAAGATGTGAATGTTCGGAAGTACATTAAGAGCCAGCAACCAACGGGTTAATTACTCCCGGAATGATTAGCTCTAAGCCTCCAGGAGGGAAACAACTTTGGTAATATGTGGATGCTTTTTCCAGGATCCAGAATAGCAAGGAAAATAACAGTAGAAAAAAAAGAGTGCGTCGTTTCCGGGAACAAAAATAACGGGGAAAGACACACGCAAAGTTGCTTCATTTTGAAAGTTTATTTCCCTGCACTTTTTGTTCCAGAACGCAATACGTATTCCTAGTATTACCCTCCGACTTCTCCCAAATGAATTTTTGAGGGTCTTCAAGGGATTTACTCAGATGCACTCTCCTTCTAGCCTAACTCCCATTTTCATCCACTTCATTGAAACTTTCATTCGTTATTTACCTTTTTGGGGGTTTTAAATTTGTTGAGAAATTGTTATTGTTTATCAACAGGGGTATGAAGAGGGTAAACTTTGGTGATAATTTTTGCCTGATAGTTTCGGTTTACTTGGCGAAAATTTTGTTTAATTCCAAAGAGAATTTAACATTTTAGGAAAAAATGGAAATTTTTGGGAAATTTTTCTCTTATTAAAAAGTCAGGGTAAATTGAAAATAAATATTCTTTTTTTATTCAAAACTCCAGTAAGTGGGTAATTTTTGTTTTCTTGCTGCTCAAACATTTAGAATTTCATTAAATTTTCAGTGGAATCTAAAATTTCTTGATTTGTTTTCCTAAATGGAATTCAATTCCACATTTCGAAAAATTACCACTGAACTTTTCATGAAATGTAAGTTTTCTTCCAACAGTGTGGGAATTTATATGAGATGACAGCTTCTTAAAAATTTTATTGTGAAATTCGTAATCTAGAAGAATGGAGAATTAAAATTTCACATTTTTTCTTTCCATGCAGTTGAAATATTTTTAGACTGAAAAATTCAAGCTACTCCTCTCTTGCCACTCAGACATCCTCTTTTAGAATTGATTGAACATTTATGGCCCTAATGATTGATGAGAATTCCCCTCTATTTTTTCAACTTCCCCCAGTCGATCGCTGCAATTCACAATCCCATTAACATCCACTAATACCGCGAAACAAAAGTGCCAGTACATATTTTCCCGGCTGGATAGGAGAGAAAAAAATGGATAGAAATAATAAGTGGTATATATAAAATAGAAATGGGCTGGAATACGCGAGTGGCTGCTGCAATTTTCTCGTCAATGCCCACGTCAAGTACATCGTGTACACGTCTCCCGGAAAAAAGGAGGAGAAGATATAGAAAAAACGACGGCAGAGAGGAAAAAAACGAGTATGTGTGCGTTTCTCGGGACACGAGACGATGAAAAATGCACGTGTTATATACTCTCCCTTCCACTCTCTTCCATTTGTCTCTCTTTTTTCCTTTCCATCTGCCTCTTTCTTTTTTTTCATCCTTGTTACTGTTTGCATGGGGACGAAAAAAAAAACAGAATATGCGGGCACTCTGAGAATTGGCTACTACTCAATAATTCTTTGTGTGGTTTTTACGGGAAAAATATTGGGTGCGTGTGCGTTGTGCACCAATGACGGTTAGTGTCTTCCTTCGATTTTTTGCGAAATTACCCGGGAATGATACGGTGGCTCTTTGGGCGCCATTTTTGGGATTGGTAAGAACGATGATTACTATGCACATTGGAGGTGTACATATGTCTAGACGACGTTTTTTTTGGTTGAATGCAGGTGGAGAGGAAAATCTGTTGTACATGACCCTGGAGTTTCCTTCATTGCTGATTTTGCAGGCATTTCTACCAGATTTGTAGCAAAAAAATCCAATAATCTAGCATATTATAGATTATTGTATACATTATATATAATACAATATATAATATTATATATTATTATACGTGGATAGATATTTTCATCGCAATTTTCAGAATAAAATGTTAAAAAACATTGCAAAAATTGTGAGAAATCTGTTGTACATGACCCTGGACTTTCCTTCATTGCTGATTTTGCAGGCATTTCTACCAGATTTGTAGCAAAAAAATCCAATAATCTAGCATATTATAGATTATTGTATACATTATATATAATACAATATATAATATTATATATTATTATACGTGGATAGATATTTTCATCGCAATTTTCAGAATAAAATGTTAAAAAACATTGCAAAAATTGTGAGAAATTTTTTGGAAGTGAGGTAATAACTGTACGATATGGGGACATGAGACTTGGTGCAAAGAAATAAGGAAAGAAAACGTATGAAAAAGGGATATCAAAGGAATATTTTGTCATTCTGGATTTATTTCTTCTCACCATTTCATTTAAAAAAAGAATAATGAGAAGATCAAGAAAGAATAAGAAAAATACACGTCTGAAATTCGAAAAGAGGCGAGGAAAAATATAAAAGAGATGCCAGATAATCATTTCTAATATTCTGATTTTAAATTGTTTTATTCAAAAGGTCAAAGCTCATACCAGAAATGTCAGACAAGTTGTGAATTTTTTTTTTGCGTGCGGAGGGCAGAGAAGGTCACCGAAACGTGACTTATTCCATTTTTACTAAAATTTTAATGAGAATTTCCACCGCAAAAGGATAATTGTTTCCTTAAATTTAGGAAATTGTTACTTATTTAAATAGAATTTATCCTGTTCAAGAACAGGATCATGCGCAAACACTACCACAAAGATCATAAAAATATAATTGTTCTCCACTGAAATAAAATTTTTCTCAACTCATCAATTCCCTCAGCGGATTATAGCCGCCACTGAGAACAAAAAATTTGTTTGAAAAGTACGTGTTTACTTGTATCAAGAAACTCATGCTGCGAAAAAACAATCTTTGTTTAACAAAAATTTTCTGCTCGTCCCAAAAGCGAGGATAATGTATTTATCACAAGAAAGTCATTTCTCAAACTAAGTCCAATTGAATCAACTCCTTCAATGATTCTTCAGTCTCAAATCAAATAAATTTAATGCAAAAACCACTGGACTTTCCTGTTGTGAACCAATTGCCCTTATCTTTCGGCCAAGTACAAAATCCCAGTGTAAGATATTCTTTTTTCTTGTCAATCATCGAGCCCCGAGTTTCTTCATCTAAACAACGACGTACTTCTAAAAAAAAAAATTTCTCAGTGTATCAAACTGAAAACGAGCCAATTACCCCCAAATATTTACCATAAAAGACACATAGACTTCAGGATTTCAGTCAACATCGGAATGCTTCAAGGGCGACTACGACTAACGTTCGCGCTACTAATGGCGGATTTACCATTGAGGAGGTGTGGGTTGGTATGAGAAGAGGAAGAGTTATCCTCGCCCAACTCTGGCTCTCGTCGTTCGCCTGGCGATGCACCCCTGGGGCAAATTTCTAATCGGATTACCGTGGATTAGCAAAGTTCGTTTGTTCTAATGAAATTCGTCTAAATTAACGTCCAGACTGCGCGTAGCTGAGGATACGTATCCTGGGCAACGGGGTGAACTCTTTTCCGTGTTTCCTTGGAGATTCATTAACATGTTTTTATTCTAAAGTTCAAGCCGGAAAATTTGATTTCAGCGCAATTATCAAAAAATTGTCATTAATTTCGCATTGAAATACTTCCTTCAATTAATTATTACGTGGAAAAAAAGGATCGAAGATTATAGGAGGAGAAAAAAGAAGCGAGAATGTTAATTAATGAATTATCAATGACAGAAGTGCACTGGAAACGTAGAAATAATTAATTTCTCCATCAGCGTACATACCCGTTGGATAAAAAAAGGGGGGAGAAAAATTGAGCATGTCCTTTTGGAATTTTTTTTTACCTCCCATCCGTTTTAATATATATTTCCTGCCCCCTTTACAAGCCACCCTCTGGTATCTAGATCGAGTGGATCTTCGCTCGAGTGTCGCGCTCACGCCGTTTCTCCACCCAGACGTTATTATGCGATTGGAAATAATTATTTCATGAATTCAGTGAATAAGTGGATTTTGTTAAAGACAAGTGACTACTCGAGTGCAAGTTGAAGAAAATAAGTTGAGCAAGCGTGGAGTTTCAAGTACGAAGAAAAACCTTTGGTTTATTACTCATCTGCTCGGGTTTTTGGCTTTTTACTCTCACCCGCGTCTTTTCTCGTGGTATTAAAAAGCAAAAAGAGCGTAGGAAATTAGAAGAAAGAGAAGGATCGTCCGGCTTTTTTTTCGTTTTATCCAGCGAAATGAAGCGGAAACGACTATTTGTATTCACAGCGCCTTGTGAAACGCCCCTTTGGCTCTCTTTTCGGGTGGGAAACAAGGCTCGTTATAAATACTTTTCATGTTTATTATCACAAGTGGCATCGGTACTGTGCAAAATATCGGGATTTATTGCTTTTATATGGAGTATGGTTTTAACATTGTTATTTCTTTCATTTTTTTGTCTTGTTTTGATGATTTTCTGGGTATTTGAGATAATCTGCGCATAAAAAAAAAACAAATTTCAATTTGAGACTTTCGAATGTCTCAAATTGAAACTTG